TTAGTCTTGTATTATTTTTAATTTTAGTTTCTTGTGTACAATTTGGAGTTTAGTATGGCGTTCATTATCACTGAACTAGTATATATATTTGTTTAGGGGCCAGCTGAAGGACGCCTCCGGGTGCGGGAATTTCTCGCTGCATTGAAGACCTGTTGGTGGCCTTCTGCTGTTGTCTGTTCTGTGGTCGGGTTGTTGTCTCTTTGACACATTCCCCATTTCCATTCTCAATTTTATAGATGTGCTTTTTGTTGGTTTATTATTTACCAATCGTCCAGATATACTACTAATCTTGTATTTTCTTTCTCAAGAAGGCAGCCATTACGGACACTATTTTTGTAAAGACTCGTGGGGCAGATGTTGGACCGAAGCAGAGAAATTTGAATTGAAATGCTTGATTTTGAAGTAAAATTTTCGATACTGGTAATAACTTGGAAATATTGAGACATGTAAATACGCATCGCTTAGGTTGAGCGTTATGGGCAAATCTCCTGGTTTTACTATATTCAACACTATGCTTAATCAATCCATCTTGAAATGTTTTTTTTTCTGACGATACTCATTGAGAGGTCTCAGATTTATGACTGGTCTCATCTTCCTTTTTTTTAGGGGACCAGCAAAAAAGTGCTGTAAAAACCTGATTGAATTTGTTTTCTCTGAACCTGTTCTATTGCATCTTTTTCTATGAAAATATTTACCTCTTGAAGTAACATTTCCCAATTTTATTTAGATACTATTGTTTGTTTTATTCCCTGCCAAATTTGTTTCTTTATGAACTCTAATTTGTAACCTTTTTCTATTACAAACAAAAAACCATTGGTCGTTTTTTTTTATCTTTTTCTAATTTTCTAGGAAAAATCGGAGACGACCGCCTACTGTATCTTAGCTAGATAAAGTAACTTAGCTATAAATCATGTAAGTTAGATATACCTGCATCTGTTCGAGCTCATTTCCTTCTATTCATATGATGAAAGGATCCAGCTCTACCTATCGGATCAAGAGATTTGGTTGACATAGCAAATAAATCTTTTACTAATTGACAATTTTCTACCTAGCATTGTCATTTTCTAAATTATCCAACACAGTGCACAAGTCTTGTTGAAAATAAGAGATAGAAATAATTTCCATTCTGGAAGCTTCCTGTCCAGAAAAGGATAGCTTCTCAATATATTTCACGGGTTGAAAAATAACTTTTTTTGCTTGTCCTAAGATTTCACAGTTTTATTACCATGGACACGTTTTATCATAGGTTCTAGCTTATCATCTAAACTTGGCGATCGTAACACCGGTAAAGATTGCTCATGCACAGGAAACATGATCTATACTCTTTTTTATAAAAAGACAAACGTTCAGGATGTTGAATTTTCAATGAATAAGATAAATCTTAATTTGTGAATCATCTAAAATCAAACCTACTGACTCATCACTATTGGTACCTGGTAAATCATCCTTAAAAATCTTAGCTAGTCTTTCAACTTTATTGTTGCATATAGTATTAGTGTTAATGTTACCTGAAGAATTGTTACGTACAATTGGATCTAAGTATTTACTAAACCTGTCAGTTTTCTTAGAATTACTGTTTTAATCAAGCAAATAACTACTCACTGATTGAGTATCACTCTCTTCCTGATCTGAAATCAGACCCAAAAAATCTCGTCTCTCTCATCGATCTACTTGTAAAAATATTTTCTGAGCGTTCCTCCAAAATCTTTTACAATTCTTGGACTACCTAAATCTTCGTTTAAGTTAGGTTCCAACGAAATTAATGGTCTACGCTCCTTCTGTACCGGGCAGTTATCTATTCTCGTAACATCGTTCTCCTGTGTGGCTAACCCACCAGTATCAGAACTATCTGAACTTTTATATGCTGCCTGAAGCAAGCCAAAAAGTTTTTCAAACCGCTTTCCTAAGCTTTCTTCTATACTGAAAAACTTCATTTCTAGTTCCGCCGTCTTGGACGAACGTTTTTTCAGACTTACTAGTTGATTTATTGCCGGTTCTGGCCATATTATTATCACGAAATTGATTACCTATACTTCCGGTAATACCGACAGAATCACCTTTTAATTCTTCTTCTGATATTCTATTTTTTTCTTCCATATTCATAAAGTTAAATATTCATAGTCAAACGACAAATTTAATGCGGCAGTATTAATTTACCGACCGAAATGCGAAGTGAACGTGTTTTGTACACGCCGAAAGATAAACTGAAGCATGAACACACGAATGATCTGGGGTATGGTAATGTTTGAATCTATATCATCTGTGTGTTTGTGAGTTATGAACGTAGTAAAGAAAGATAATCCAAAGGTATGTTTCTGACTGGTAAGTTTAAATAATTGAAATAAAATTCACCTACCCTTAAAAGTCACAGTCGAGAATAATCAACAGTAGGTAAAACTGCAGATAGTGAGTTGAGACACAGACACATCATTTCAGTGAAGCAATTTTTATAGTGACCGTAAATCGTATGTATAAAAGCAGATGTGTTTAGTCGAACATCTTGACGACCCAGATAAGTATCGTTCTTTATGGGGATTTTAGTGAAGTTAAGGTATCCAGTGAAAAGATGGGAGATATTCATCGTTTCTTTCTATATTAATACCAAAAGATAGTTGCAGAGCTTTGTGAAAATCTTCTCTTTCGTAAACAATGTAGAAGTAAATGTGTGATTCAGTCTTGCTGTAAATGCAAAGTTGTTCAAAATAATCATATTTGCAGTAACAACATATTTGAAGTAAAGAGAGAATAAAGCATCCACAACTTCGGGCTTCTTTGGCTAGAAACCCTCGTGCCGATAGTACATCTTGGATCTTGAATGCGTTTCTGAATGCATGACAAAACAGCTATGAACAATTCATATAAACTGTCCGGTTTTGGTTCATCTAGCCCGCAATTTATATATTCTGTTGATATAGTGCTCAGCTGCATTAATCAGAAAAATCAAGTTTTTTTTCCATTTGATGAGCAGGGGAATTCGATATTTTGGGACTTTGGCTAGAATGAATTTCTCTTATCTGATCATGGTTTATGGTGCCAAGATATCCATTTATAACATGACCATCAGGATTCTGTTGATATATTGGGTCGATGAACAAGAGAAATATGGAAGTTCGGATTATATATCTTTAAGGTAAAAAAAACAACTCATCAACGATACTAGGCTTATAAATCTCTAATACCTTCTTGTGTTTGAAATTCGTGGTTAAAATAGGTTTGGTGTAGGCATGTGAAATGATAGGTATTGTTTTATCTCTGCAGTAATCAGGTATTGTTTTTTGAATAGATTAACGGTGGAAAATATTACTAATATTGATAGAATCAAATCACATTAGAGAATCGACTGTAAAAACTTCATCATATTTGGAAGTAGTTAACACGGGTTGGAATATTTTGTGGTAAGCAATGTCTAACATTATTTCAACCAATCTTTACTTAGCACCATCTGTATCAATAACGGAAGTGTTTGTTTCATGCAATAGAGAATTAATAGAAGATAATACCATCATAAACATGCAGGTGTTGTTTATTTTCAATACCATTGGTTCGAAAAATTAACACAAGTTGTTACATGATTCGAATTTATTGATACTACTACTACACCAGGACCTAGACAAAAATACCTATACCATTAATTCTATCCTTGTATTTGAACAAAATGGTCAGAGTACCAAAATTTTTGCGGCTTAAGTGAACCTTAGATGAAATTTTACTTGAATTAGATAAGGCACTTGAGTGTTTTTGTCCAATGCATAAATGACAGAAACATCAGATAGAACACATGGCGGGAAAAGATAAAAGTATCTTTATGTATTTCTGCATCCTAAAACAAAAAGGATAGAGCGTAATAAAGACCATCTCTAGTAGTGAAATTTCAAAAAGTATACATTTTCAACCCTATTTCTTATTATTTTAATAAATTTTACTATTAGATTATTAGACAATACAGTTAAATCACTACGGAAATGTATTTTGTATGTTAATTCAAATTGAATTTCCTAAATTGACCATTCAAAACAAATATTTTTTTTTTTAATTAGCGAGAGCCTGTCCCAACATTTGTATATGAAATGTCGCGTCCCAAGATTGTTTCGGAAAAAAAAAGTTGTTTTGGTTTACAAGGAAGCTTTTAAACCAAGAGTTCCAATTGGTTAAGTTGAAATCATCCTTTCAAAGATTTTACGGACATCATCTCGAGGTACCTGACAGTTATGGAATATTTGTTTCAAAGATGACGACGGATATGTTCCAAATGTCGTATCCACAATCCCGTTATCTTCTCTCCGAATGTAACCGACCGAAGTAGACTTATCACCGGATTTGTACTTACATGAGCAACACGACTGGTGCTACATGTGAATCAGGGTCTGCTCAACCTCCCGGAGCACTTGGTATCATTCCAAGATTTTGGTGCGGTTTATGTTACTCAGTCTTTAGTTTTCTATGTTGTGTACTGTTGTTTTTCTTTTGATCTTTTTTGCCATAGTGTTGATGGTTTGTTTTCAACTTGTGAGTTTGAAAGCATCTTTTGTATTTTTCACCTCTCTATTTGTTCATATTTGATTTTTAACAAGATCTTTAAGTTATGCAATCCTTTTTTTATGGTTTTTTAAATGCGTTAAATTTATCAAAATTGTAGTTTTGAGTTTTTTTAATTAAAAAGGGATATGAGAGAAAATACAAAGGGGCATTAGAATGTCAACTGTCTGTCTGAAACAAGTCCATTAAAACAAAAACGTCAATTATATCTGCGATGTCATGACGTCAGTTTCTTTAGATATCCATTCTTTCGATTGACAAAAATAACTGAACACATGGTGTTTTAGTGAAAGGGTGTTGTTTTAAAACAAAATATAATTTAAAGGAAAATGTAAAAATAATTTTAAACGTAAAACTTTTTCAACAAAAAAATAAATTTTAAGAGAACAATATAGGACAATGGTGTGTAAATTAAAACACAAAATATTCTATTTTTTTTAAAGTTTTGTATTGTATTTGTCAGGTATACATAAATAAACACAATACATAGGTAAATCGCTAATATTACCAATTGTTTAATTTGTCAATTGACAAAATAGCGCTCAGAAATAGTTAATAAGAAATAATCATTACTGCCAATAAGCCTGCACGACACCTTTATACAGCAAGGGACCGTTTTCATGCAAATACAGTGCAGGCCAAACAACAAAACTGACTGTATCACCGCTCTTCACAAACTCTTTGTATTGACTTTTATCAAACACTGTTCCTGGCTGAAGATCTTTATCTAATTGCATCATCGGATCCTGTATTGCCATTGACCAACAGAGATGAATACACTTTTCAAAGAAAGTTGTTTTTAATAATGACGAAATAAGTTTCTCGTTTTTATGTTCAAATTCCCAGCCCTGCACAACCATTTCCTTTCCAATAACCTTTGAAAAGTGAATAACACAACATTGTGCATTAAAATACATACAAGTAGAAGACTACGACTCGATTTATAGTCTCAAGTATAAAACCTTCACTAACCGTTTGACATAAAGTTTAATTCTTTTCCTACCAAAATCTTTTATACACTATATTTTAATCCTTTGCCTACCCAATTACTTTTGACCTATACTCTACCATTATTTTGAATTGTAATATTTATGGAAAAAAAATGTAATAATGAAACTAGAGTTAATTAAAACATAAATAAATAATCAGTGAACTATAGTTCTTGCACCAATCGTATTACTCCATGAAATGATACAATTCATTTTGCTTTGTTTGCTTTTCATATTTGCTGATGGATTTTAACACTTTTCGAAAAGGTGGCATGAAAAAATATCTAACTATCACGAATCAATCAATAATCTGTTTATCTAATCGATAGATTATTTTCCAACTGTGTTCTTTGTTGCTTCTTAATGGATTAAATTTCTCTTTTTAAAATCCTACTTAAATAAAACATGACCATTTCAAATATCTTACAATTATTTATAGAGAACGCTATATAAAAATATACGGATAAATAAAAATGCAGATGTATTTCTTACATTTCAAAATTAATGATTTCGGAAAAAAATTAAAAAGGACAAATACATTTCATTTTGCTCTGAAGATATTCATTATAATTAAGAAAAGATCGTTTAGACGTTGATTTTAAAAAGGTTTATACCTGTTTTTCTAGGAAGAATTTTATGGTATTCTCTATGTTATGTCTTCTTTTGATAATAACTTCCTTACTTCCAGGGAATGACGAATATTTTTCATCCTACAAGAGAAATGTGTATATTTCATTTTTCAAATAAGTGCTACTTTTGAGATAAACAAAAATTTAATAATTTTATAAAATGCAGTTCGCAAAAATTGTTTAAATGAAAATTTGTGATCACTAAACGTTATATAATCGCCTTTGATCACAAAATTTTGTTAACGTTCACAGTTAATGGCTAAACCTAAATAAGTACACGCCATTCAAATTCCATATTAATTCATATCTCTTGCAGTAATCATGTTATTATATATTGGTGCAAATTAAAGGCAACAATAGTTTATCATTTGTTTGATGTGTTAAAGCTATTGATTTTGCCGTTTGTTAAGGGACTTTCTGTTTTGAATTTTCTTTGGAGTTCGGTATTTTTGTTATTTTTTTTTTAACGTGGAAATAACATAAATCCATAAAAATATTGATCCAGATAAAACATACCAACAGGATATCGCATGATATCCAAACTAACCGGAGATTGCGTGCATTGACAAATTAAGCGTCTCCTGCAATGCATGCTTACCCGCCATTCGAATCCACTCCAAGTCAAAATGACAACATAGGGAAAAGGCGACTTCTCTGGAGTTTTTAGATCTAAATAACAAAAAACATGCCTTTTGGGAGTTGAGGCACAGTGACATCTTATTGGCCAACCCATTTGTGATGACCTAAAACTTGTATAATGTTGATTTCTGAATGTTTCCCTCGTACTAGGCCAGTTTTCAGGAGCAACATTATGTCAATAAAGCCGATATGATGACAAGCACGCGCCTAATATATCATTTATACTATGGGGCATAAGGTATATTACAGGTGAGAAATTAGAAAAATTTGTCATTTGTGTAGATATCAAGAAAAAGATCCGTATATGAATGAGACTTTCAAGATATGCAAATGTAAGTGACTCAAGTCTTTGTTTGTTCGTACTTATATTTCTATAACTAAAAAATTGTTTTAAGCTTTACCGAATCCAAATTCAAATACAATGTTACTGCAACATTCTGTCCAATGGTGCAAAGCTGCTCCGCAGAAACTTTTACGCAATGCGTGTAACAGCACTAGAAAATGTTAGAAAAAGATTATGAATATACGTTCAAAATCAATACTGCAATGTATATAAAAATATAAATATAACAAGCAAAACGTTAAAAACTTAATCGATTGTGCTCTTAATATTAAAATCCTTGAGATAAAACAATATCGTGACGTCTAAAGCAGAAGAAACAGTTTTTTCTTGTTTCTTATATTATGCGGAAATATTTTCACCTTCAGTCTCATTATAACATTATGATTAATAGGCTTTGAACATGTTTACTATAGCAAACTTACTATAAATTAAGAGACTGCGTTTTATTTTAAATTTTTATTAGAGAAAGTTATAAATGTATAGGTTTGATTTCTCATATAATATTTGATACTATAGTTACTATTAGTAATCTGTGAAGATGGCGAATGACAATTTCTTCTATTTCTGATTTTTTCTTGTCAGGATAATAACCCTGAACTGTGTCGGTATATTCCATAGCATCTGTCCATTCATTGTCATACAGCTCACCGTACATTTCACCAATCTTCATTGGACGATTTGGATCTCCTAGGTCTGTAATGGCTGGATTTCCCTTCGTCAGCTTCTCTCCTGCCACACTACTCAACCTAAACAATATTCGTTTTATATGTAAACAAATTAATAGTCTTGTATTCAGGCTTAGAATAACAACTTTCTATGTTGCACAGATTACAACAATCAAGTTCGCAAAACACTACATAGAAAATTAAAGACTAAGCAACAAGAACCCAACCAAAAACTGGGGTTGATCTCAGGATCAGCAGATCCTGCTCTACTAGTGGAACCCGTCATGTTACTGGTGGTAAGTTTTAATTCTGTCATGAGTCCCATTCGGTGATGTCACAGTCTAAGAAAGCGAACGAGATTGTAGCTAGGATTATTGGAACATATCCATTCGTAATTTGTAACAAATATTACACAACGGTCAACCAACTCGTGATAGCTTCCGTAAAATTTTCGAAGGGATGACTTCAGATTTACAATTTAAAACCCTTGGTTCAACAGCTTCCTTGTAAGCAAGAATCCTCTATCAAGGTAATCAAGATAGGAAACCCTAGGTTTGGAATATCGTACTAACTGGGAGACATATACACCATATGCAGTCGCTTTTTGAATGATGCTATATAGAAAAAGAAAGTTCACAATAAGAAAGCTGAAATAAATCCTTTTGTCGTAAAATTTAGTTCTCAACCAACTTTCATTGTCAATTTCTAAATGTTAGTCAAGATAAGATGGAGACTGAACTGTATCTGTGGATAGATGCGTTCACCAAACTGTGAAATATCTAGTTAGAGGACATCGTCCATAGAGCGGAAAATGAAGTTAAATGATAATGCCAGCTTCTTTCCATTTTTCCTGGAAGCTTCTGTATGTAGTTTGTCTAATTCAAAAGAAAAAGTCGACGAAAAGAAGAACACGGTGTTTCCCAGAGGAATACCGATTGATTGTTGAAAAACACGGCATACAAACGTAACGAATATGTTGTCAAACAAAATATATAGCATTTCGAAAGTGTCAGTATCAAAAAATATTTTGTTTGTTTTAGACTGGTTTTTAACAAAGTATGAGTTATCCCTTTCTACAAAACATATGTGTATGAACGTTGGCCATTCTCTTTAATGAAACAAATTAGGACTATTTCTTTCGATCCGTCCTTTCATTAAGAATAGGCAATGCCAGTGTATGGTGGAGAGAAGTCAAACATCAAATACACCAAAAAAAATATTCGACATATTCTAATTAACAAAATATTTAATAAATTTAACAGAATTCTATCATATGATATTCAAAGGTCTTCCAATTGTATCGAACTCAAAATCCATACGTAATGGCTAGATTTTGTACTTATAAGAGGCTGTAGATAATAAAACACATAGCATCAAAATATATCAACTAGCTGATTATACAAAACTTTTTGTATTTTAAAACCGACATATCATGCATATCAAACGCTATGAATGTTATCGAAACTCTCGGATCTATCTCGGGTCTGAGACTCCAGCTATGAGGTTGAATCGTAGTAAAACACAAGAAATTGGGATGCGAGCACTTAAACATAACAAAGAGAAACTGAGGCCATACGTTCGACTGACTGATACGTAAAAGTTTTGGGAATCTATTTTGATCTTGACAGAAATAAGTAAAATAACAAAAATACCTTACTCCTAGGAAAATTCAAAAACAGAAAGGCCTTTATCAAATGGCAAAATCAAAAGATCAATCACATCAAACGAATGGAAAACAACTGACTTGGTACAGGCATTTCCTTATTAGAAAATTGTGGATTAAATAATTAAACAGAAACGAACGTGCACAGTTAAATTCGGAACATAGAATAAACAAAATAAAATCCTGAATTACAGCATCGAAAAACAAAAGAAAATTTAATTTGGGTAAATATTGATCATAAAACTTTCTGGTCTATAACATGAATTTAGATAATGTAAAATCACAACAACAAAGTTAAGGAGAATACTGCAATTTTGTGTATAACTCATTGCAAGTTGGGTGAAGACAGGGTGAGTATTAACCAAATTTACAGATAATTTTTCGAACATCAGAAAACAGACTGTTTGGGGGGAAATATACATTAAATATTACAGCAATAGCTTTTTCAGTCAAAACCGGGTAAAACATGAATGATTCTTAAAATTATTAATGACATATTGGATCTGAAGGCTATCATATTTTTGTTTAGAAAGTGATAAAAAAAAGGCTGAGTTTAAATTTGAAAATTCTCTATTACAAAAGAACGGCTGCATTTCTGATAAAAAAAAAACTATATACAGTGTTAAGTAATATATGTAAAGATAAACTGAAATGGTAAAGAAACAAGTTGAAACAAGATATATATAATAAAATGCTTCATTATATTTAAGCAGATTAAACATATACAAAGCCAACTGTTATCAATATTTGCCCACACACGCCCATATGTCGTACCCAAAGATTTTAACTTAAAATATTGAACAGAGAACAAGATGAAAATGTCCAATGGAAAACTCTCAGTTTATGATTCCTACAAAACATTTAGAATTAAAATGGAAAATTCCTAAACATACTAAACTTGTTTTTTTGGTAAAAAAAAACTAGAGGAAGAGTATTTATACCTCTTTATTGCATGTTATTTTTTACAAAATTTTGAAGAAATATTAACTTTTAGAGCAAGATATTAGTAAGGAAAAATGTTTTGGATATAAAATCTCCAATACAGGACATTATGATCTCACTTTTTCTTGACAGTATTTTTTATATATGTTTTTGGTCTATGTACAGTATCAGAGCAGATAATAATATTCTTATGATTTGGCTAAAGAACAATTATGAATGAAAGCAAAAAGGTCTCTTAAAATTCGTTCTTCCTATATTTAAAAATATAGATAGCAAAGAATGTTTAGATGCATGTTCATAATTAGTTGGTGTAATGTTTGCAAAGTTTGCATGTTTTTTTTCCAGGATATTCAGAATGCAGCTCAGGTGAATACTTCACTATAGCTCGGAGAGTAAAGTATAATTGTAACAGACAACTTGAAGAATAAACATATATTTATTGTTAAAAAAACCATTTTATAACAATAAGGATGCGTTATGTCATTGCCAATGAGACATTTTTTCCGTAAAGACCAAACGACAAAGAAAACTCTTTAAATAACTCATTTTTCATTTCTAACATTAGTCATGCTCTTTCACTTAGTTATGAGTATTGATCCAAGATAACTTTGATTGCGTATACATGAGCCATACTGAACTTGAAGGGCACTACAAACAAAAGAAGGGTGTGGGGTTTAAGAAAATAAGACATTTCAAAATGAATAAAAGACATATCAAGGTCAACAGATCTAGTTCGTATTTTTCTCTCAAAATTAAAACTAATTGTTGACACAAATCTAGAATCAATAACAAAGTCAAGTCAAAATTTCAGCTTCCTACAGAAATCTTTCCAATCCTGAGTAGTATCAACGATCTGTCTCATATTATTTTTTTAAAGTATCTCATTTTATGAAATGTGCCGTTAAAATGACTAAGTTTCTCAACTTGCTATGTTTACTCGTCCAGCGATTCAACCATCCCCTTATTTTATTACCAGTTTTATTATTTTTCTGTTCGTGACAATTTGGCACTAGATACATGAATTATTTTGAAATACTATGATGGGGATTAAATAACGGGTGATGCACCCAAAGTACATATTTATCCTAATAGCAGGTAGATGTTGTAAAATATCAAAACATATCAAATTTCTTATAAACACCATATAGATTAGTTCAACTGAACGATAAAACGGTGTGTCTACCATTGATTATGAATACCTTGTTTGGAGATCATCTTTTTCTTTCCTTAGAGCAAGAATTAAGTCTTCTTTTTCCTTAATTGAAATTTTCAAACTCTTTTCTTTTGCTTCGGTCTGTCGCTGGTGTAAATCAATTTGACGAGAATACGAATCAAACCTAAAAACAAATTCTCATACTTTTTATCGTCTTTATTGTATAACTATACTATTTTTAATATCATAAATCTTTAAGTTTTCCCCTCATTGTGAAATTATTATGCATATTAATTATATCTGATATACTATTCAGCAAAATAGCTTGAATAGTCAATTTGATCAAATACACAATGAATGAAGTGGATAAAAAATTACGATTAAACTTTCATTGGGGGGAGGGGATGAAATAACATTTGCTTGAAAAGCTCTCTGTTTATTTTATTTAATGCAAAATTAAAGACAATACTTATATGAACATTCACTAAAAGATATCAAATTGCTCTGAAATAAATTCATATTGCGTTTTTTATAGTAGTATTATACCTAAGCTGAAGATTCTGATTTTCTTTTTTTATTTCAATGACTGAATTATCCCTTGCTGCCTTCAAACTCTTTAATTCGTCTTGTTTTCTTGATAGCCTGAAAAATCAGAAGTTATATATATAGAATCAGTTATTCTTTGGAAACCGAATCACGAAATATTATCTTACTTTTATAAAACTTGAGCTTCGGTCACTTGTTTTTGGATTTCTAATGCAAAAATGTGATTTTGGTGATTAGATTTTTTCCCTTAATGGAAACGATATTGGGAAAACTTGCTAATGAACTTGTATCTATATTCCTTCCCAAGTCTATTATTCAAGTCGGCGTGTACTATTTATCTCAAGTAACTTCTCCTGATTGTCATGTGACATAGGTCATATACAACTATATTAGAACATTAAAAACAAAAAAAATAAAAGAAAACGCAATACAGATGTGTTTAATATAAATAAGAAGATGTGGTATGAGTGCCAATAAGACAGCTCTCCATCCAAGTCACAATGTGTAAAAAGTTAACAATTATAGGTCAAAGTACGGCCTTCAACACGGAGCCTTGGCTCACACCGAACAGCAAGCTATAAAGGGCCCCAAAATGACTAGTGTAAAACAATTCAAAGAGGAAAATTAATGTCTATAATATAAAAATAAGGAGATGTGACCTGTTTATTCCGATGAACCAATATCCCACAAGAGTCCAAATGACGTCGAGGTGGACAACAACAAAGATCAAAACACATACTATATAAGCAAGCTATAAAAGGCCCAGTCATGACAAATTGTGAAACAATTCAAGGGGTAGTACCACCATTGTTTTCCCCTATTAACCTTAGTAAAATTAGCATTTTTCAAAATTAAAGAACCTTAGTGAGCGCTCTCACATACCCCACGTCCCCACATTGTCATTGGAGAAATAAAATAAGTGTAAGAGAAAAAAATTGAATCATAATTTCCTGTCAATATGCACATCTACACAGTATGTCCTTATTATCTAAAAAAATTCATGAAATTCTGTTGTGTGGTTTCAGAGGAGTTGCGATGACAAACTGTTGCAGTAGTACATTAAAGCAAATAAGTTCAAAGGGGCGCAACTCCTAGAAAAAAAAATGAATTGTAATTTCCTGTCGATATGCACATCTACATAGTATGTCCTTATTATCTACAAAGTTTCATGAAATTCTGTGGTGTGGTTTCAGAGAAGTTGCGATGACAAACTGTTGCAGTAGTACATTGAAGCAAATAAGTTCAAAGGGGCGTAACTCCTAGAAAAAAAATTGAATCGTAATTTCCTGTCAATATGCACATCTACACAGTATGTCCTTATTATCTACAAAGTTTCATGAAATTCTGTGGTGTGGTTTCAGAGGAGTTGCGATGACAAACTGTTGCAGTAGTACATTGAAGCAAATAAGTTCAAAGGAGCGTAACTCCTAGAAAAAAAAATGAATCTTAATTTCCTGTCGATATGCACAACAACATAGTATGTCCTTATTATCTGAAAAGGTTTCATGAAATTCTGTTGTGTGGTTTGAGAGGAGTTGCGATGACAAGAAACAGGACTGACGGACTGACAGACGGACTGACAGACGGACAGACAGACAGACGGACGGACGGGTCAAAAACATTATACCCTTCGCAAAAAATTTGCGTGGGGTATAATAATTTGTAGAATTTACCGGATTTGAAAAAGAAATACTTGGAAAGAATAAAATTATATCAAGTACCGTCCTTCAAAAAAAGTAAACTTCCATGGAAGTAAACAAGGAATTTCTCAACTTTCTTTTACATGTTTATAAGCATTTGTAATTGGGTCACTGCATGTTACAAAAATATGTTATTGGAACACTAAATAAAACAATGGTGCGTTAAACACCCAAGATATATGCTGTAACAGTGAAAAGGGATTAGGCAAGGCGTAAAAAGATAGTAATTTGTGTTTCTAAAAGTGTTCGAAATGCATCTTTATTAGTATAAATCTGTTTTAGCAGGTGCCCAACTTTTTGGCCTGTAGAAAAATTTGTGCACGTTTGGTGGAATTCTGTCAAGAATTAATGTATTAAACGAGTTATGAACGAGCAGAAATGGCTACGTTCATGTTTTGTTATGGGAAACCTGAAAGAGCAAAAAATTCCACACTAGGATAATTTTTTAAAAGGCCTTCAATTTAAGTAAATTTCACTTTATCATGGATTCAAATCTGTACTTTAGGATTTCTAAAACATTTTGACGTATATTTCAAAACATATTATATTCCTAACGATGGCTAAAAATTCATTTTTTTATATATATTTTGGCAACATTTAAGTAGATATCTAAAAAATATAGAACAAAATTCTAGACCAAAAACAAAACACTATTTGAAATAATTCCAAAAATTGCCTTTCGAATAGAAACTGTTTCGTATGAAGATGTTCTTAAATGCAAAATTTTGTGAACATTTTGCAATTTCGTATTAAGCACTTACGTGTAGCACTGTATATTTTTTTGTTTTTATGGAAACGTGACTATAACATTGTTGATGATTGGTTTAAGAATATTATATAGACTCTTCAATGTTCCAATTTCATGAGGTTTTTTGCAACTTTCAGATTTACCCGTGTATGTGAAACAGAAGATATTTGAGCTACCTAAATATTTCTAAAGGTTGTTGATGTGTAAACTGGACCGATAAAGAAAGAAAAGAAATTCTGACGGACCAATCTAATTCAAGCAGTAATTTTGTAGATATGCAAATAATACAAGAACTATAAGTTAATAAATTCGTGGAAATTTATATAATTACCACTGTTGTAAATCCTGATTTTGTCTTTTCAATGAGTCGACCTCATCTTTGTGGCTTTGTAACATGTTCTTCGCTTTCTGATATGACTCATTTTTAAGAGAATCCAATTCCTTAGCTATCACACTGTTGTCTTCTTTTAATTGTTTTATTTTCTTTTCTGCTGATTCTATTTCGCTTTTATATACTTTGCTATTTGAAAGAGAAAAGTTTTTTCATATCATGTTATTAAATTCATGTCATTCATTTTTTTAGAGGGGTGTACGTCTATTATATTTTGAATGAAGCCATTGGTAAATACGAGGGGGGGGGGGGGTAATTTTATCATGAAAGATATTACAATATTGTTAGGAAAGTATCACTTAATATGCAACTGAAAAACCCTTTTCTTATTTCATAGAGTGTGTTTGTGTATTTTTGCATACATATTACATGTAGACTACGGTAACACAATGCCTTCTTTTTTTACCTTTCTATAATGTCATTTAACATTTAATTTTCGAATAACTGTTTTAGGTACGTAGTATTTTGTTGTAAGGGATGAATAAAATGCGACGTAATGGCCAGTACCAATGCAACAGCAATTAAAAGCGCATAGTGTAGCAAAAATACACATTTTGAGATAATCATAGCATTCAACAATGATCAGCTACAGACAAAACTTTAAATTTGCCCGATTGAGTCTTATAAGTTTTGGAAAACGTCAGCATAAATAATCATCAACATCAAAGATACATTTCTATTCTTATACACTATACGTAGTAATAAATTAATGATTATTCAACATACATTTTTCCTTCGTTTTTGTTTAGTTGTGACAGAAATGCCTTTTGTTGGTCCTTTTCTCTTGTATTCATATCGTCTGTCCATTTAGCATAACGAAGACTTAATTCCTGTAGTTCTTTCTCTAGTTGTAAGCTAAAATAAAACCCAAGATTGTTTTGTTTTTTTTAAATCCATCACCAGTGTCAATAAATCGGTTCAAATGGAAATGGAGGGTTTTGGTGTATAAATTTAGAACATTAAAATCCTAAATGTTCATGTCAAAACCAATAGCAAAGTAGCATTGCTTATATTTGAGTCCTGCATTTAATATTTACAATTGGATGAAAACCACCAATTAATCATTTCTCATTTTCTTTTAAAAAGTAATAAAGTATCATAAACGGCATGTCAAATGTAGCAATATTCGATTCTTCTAATTTGTATGCCAAAATGTATAATTTATAATCCATAATCTTATTGTCAATTTGTATTGTATATTTGTCTATTTATATTCGAATGAAACCCCGTACAGTTCCAATGAAATAGTCATGTCTAAAGTTCATATTAACAAAAGAAAAATTAAAACAAAATAAGGATTTACCCTGGCATAACAATTCAAATTCAAATATTTTGAGGACATTCATATCCCCTTTTTTTCATCTGGGCCTACGGTCTAAAAACTTAACTCAGTACTCGAAGTGCACAACTGTCCTCGATACACAAAAATCCTGTATATTTGATTGGTTGAATTCTGAGTCTGATAACGATAATCGTACTTCTCATTTTTACGACAGCTAAGTCTGGCGAAAAAAAACATTTGTAGACAGATACAAAGATAGATGTTATCCATTTGTTTTAATAACCTCACATACTAACGTTTCCTTGTTTCAAAAAGAACTTTTAGAATCTCTTGTCCTTTTTCTATGCAGGAACTTTTTTCATCGTTGACACCTTTTCTTGTCAATATAGCTCGCTCATCGTCTTCAAATGAATTTATATCGGCGTCACTAGTAAACTTGTGTATAACATTAATTAAAAAATGTAACTGTTTCAGTTGGTCATTTTCTTGAATTCTGCAAAAAAGGTTTTTGATTACATTTTCCACACAATGAGTACATATGAGCTAAAAGTAACATTTCAAATATTTCTTTCTATGAAATTTAACACTTTTGTTTGTCTCGTTGATTAAGTTTTTTATTACTATGATGAGCATTTGACGTGTCTTGCATTTAGCAAACTAGACTGCTTTTATGATTTAAGAAGTGAGAAAACTTTTTGATCTTTTTTAGGGAAAAAATATGTTTTTTTTATATTCATCGTAAAAAATATATTCTAGAGTATGTTCCAAAAGGCGCTCGTTAAGCGTGTCAACAATGAAACTGAATATTCACGAAAAGTATAACACATATGCAGTAAGGAAAAGTTAAATAAAAACAAATAAGAACTAGAATGAGCTGAAATGGATGTTATCACAGATACTCCCGCCCCGTATAAAAACTCCCCAACCGTAAATTATGCACAAAACGTTAAAACTGAACTTGACCTGTAATTGTGGTTATGCCAATTTTTTAGGTAACTAAGGGCACTCTTTTGAAACGTAAATGTAAACACTCACCTAAATCAAAGTTGATCTGTATCTTATGGTCCATGACATTGTGTTTAAGATTTCAAAATTTTGTTGAGGTAGTACTTATTAATTTCAGGAAACAAAAAGTGTGATGAACAGAAAAACAGATGAACAGACATGTGCATCACTTTATACCCCCGCTTCGAGGCGGAGGTATAAAAAAGGTAAATGTTTGTTTATTGTTTTTGTTGTTGTAATAACGATTTTAAATTGCAAAAGATTGAACTTGAGATGATTCTAATGACATGTACTTGCACATTTCATAGGATTCGAGCATGCTTCTCAAATCTGAGAAAAATAGATAAAAACTTGAAAGGAGAAGGTCCGGTAAGGGCTAAAAAATTTGAAATACATCTGATGAAAGATTTTTGACATTTTTTAAACACTTAAGTGTCAACTTCAGTCGATTCAATTAGTTTATGTTAAAAATTTGAACAGATATTATTAAAGACACTCAAATTCAACCTTAAATAAGAAAAATCTATCGAACAAGCAATAAAACGTCACTTTTCAGATGTCTAAAAATTCCGGTTTTAAAATGGCCGCATTCGTGTTCAGTCTCAACCTTTATAATTGTTATGTATTGTCATCAAATACAACATAAATTATCAATTATATCTGTCAATCAATTGTAACTGATTTTATGCCCTTCGTGTTCAGTCTCAACCTTTATAATTGTTATGTATTGTCATCAAATACAACAAAAAAGACATATATTATCAATTATATATGTCAATCAATTGTAACTGATTTTATGCCCTTTATGGGCCCTGTAATTTGGGAAATAAAAATATTCTATTTTATTCTATTCTATTTGAATATTAAGACTGAACACAAGCGCGGCAACTTCCATCTAAAAAACGTTTAAAATTTAGCACAAACGCAAAAATTGTGAAGATTTCAGTAATTTTGCATGACTTAATGATGCAAGTACTTAATGAATGTGCAATTCTTTTGTCAAAAAAACAGCCCATATTTATGTAACAAAAGTAATCTACTTTCCAATAAATAGCTAAAAGTGTACATTTTTAACAAATTTATAAAATCCTTTGGTAGATAATTGTCTCATTGGCTATGATACCACATCTCCTTATTTTATATTTATCATTAAATAAGGCCAATAATTTACCCTGTTTTTCTATATGTTGGTTCTTGATGACATTTTGTTTCTCTTTGGTATTCTTGGATTTTGATACTCGATAACTGTAATGATAATTTGTCAACTTCTTCTTCATATGATTTATTTTCTTGTCGAACCACCCCCTTTTCATTTTCTTGATTTCTATGAAATATAAAAGTCATACATTTTTCAGTATCTAATTTTATTACAATGTACTTAAAATTATTAGTTTATTTATCAATTCATTTACTTTTTTAAAAGGTCTTTCCATCTTTCCGTAGAAAGACCCTATCGTTTTTTTTTTTATGTGCGATCGCGACATTTTGAAGAGATAATATCAGCGGTAAATATGCTCTCAGGACTGCTTGCTTAACTGAATACTTTTTCTCAATAGAGTTTTTATTTTTATTTTCTTAGGCGATAGGTTACAACCAACTTGGATGCGATTCTTTTCGTTTAAATGACACGAAAATGTGACTGATGTGTCTATGCTCCTATATAAATTTTCATATTTTCAAATGTGTAATTGACTTTGGTACTGCTTGAACCGATTTCCAGTTCGTTTATTGTTGATTACCGTATGTGGGTCATGGTTCATTTGACTCGTGCAAGTTATCTCCAACATGACAACTAATGCGACCATAAAGAAACTGTGAAATAAAATTGCAACATTAATCTCAAACAGAAAGGACCATTTGAAAACAAAAATGACAACCGGTTGTGTTATGAACATTACGTAACAGTTTTGAAATAATTATTTAATGACAAACTAAAGAGACAAATTTAACATTTTTCATTGAGTATCCAATTTTAACCACTGCTGATACATTTTTTTTACAATGCAAAACTATTTAAACAACCACCTTCATCCCAAATAATTGAGAAAAAATGTAAAAGGTATTATAGTAAAATTATAATGTTAAACTATACTAACTGCATATAGAAACGGAACATCATATTCCAAGCCCTATTTCGTCCCTTTTTTAAGAAAATTTAAAAAAAAAAATCTTTTAATATATTCCTCAAAAATATGGCTACATGTTATCTTAGAAGTCTGGTTTCATATTGACTTTTTTATTTCAGTAACATGCGATAAGCCCCGTTAGGGTAAAAATCAAAACTCACAAATGTTCCGATCTAAATGCGATCCCACCGGACCAAATACAAAGGGAAATTGACAATCTGCATCAACTTTGATAACCTTTACGTTAGGGGTTCATTATGGTGAACAATTGCCATCAAAAGTAAATTAAATTTTTCTTATTAAAAATATGGAATTTTTAAACGTTAAAATCTGAATATCGAAAAGCCCTGAAAATTGTTGGAAATGATCTGTTTGTATATCCTAACGGACGTCCTCGATATGTCAGAAGGAAGACAGGTAATAAATCCCTATATTTCTGTTGTATATTTGTAATTTTGCACATTTGAAAAATAAAATATTGTTTAATTGTATACTAAAATCTTAGAACAATAGTTCAATTTGAAGCAAGATTCGTCGGTTTTAATTTTTATTAGATGGGAAAATACATGTAGGGTTGCCGTATATTAGGCATTTCGTTTTACAGATCCGCTTGAATTTAAACTACTATTAAATCAGATTTGTGCAAACACTAATTATGGTGTACATGGAAATAAATTTGTCACGGTGACAGCTGTAAAAAGAAACAAAACCTGCTAACGTAGTAGATTATGTTTTAGGTAAAGGAAGTCGGGACTACATTTTTTTTCGGTACCACGTCTTGAAATACTTGTAGTGGTATAGGTTAGTTTCCACACAGGACTAATCGAGTTTATATATAACCCTACTCTTTTATGCAGTAGACACATTCTTGTGAGACAGGCATTGATTTTAAAGACAATCAGCAATTTTTGCTACATAAATATTACTCAAAAAATGAAGAAAAAAACAACATATTCTACATTATGCATTGAGCAATAATGATAAAAGTTTCAAAAACATAACGTGGACAATATTAATAAATATCAGGTTTACATTGATAACAAGAACTTTCCTATAATTTTAATAGATTTTGCGTTTGTCAATAAAAAATTTTCAATTTTTAATTCAAGTGACAACTGTTTGAGCGCAATACATGGTTCAAATAAAAAAACATAAATGTCAGATATGTGAGACTTTGAAACAAATGTGCATTTTGTTAACTCAAGTAGGCCTGTATACATGTCTGTTCGTGTGATTTTTTTTTATGTTTGCTCTCATTGACATGTAGAAACATTTAGTATATGTATATATAAAATCTGACCTTTTCTATTGTTTACCAAGTCGAGATATTTGTGTTATCACATACATATTATCATCAGTATGATTTATCTATTTGGCTACATGTATTATCATTGTAGAATGCCCAATTGATACAAAATAAAGGCTAATCTTACATATCAACAATGAGTTTGCCGAATAGATTGCTAACATCAAACGAATCTTCAACTCCAGGACGAAACTTCAGCTTTTGCAACAAATATGGACCAGGTTCCATACTTTCAAACTCTTCTTTTGTGTGCTTTATTTTCAACCATGACTTCAAAAATGTCCATACATTACTATTTTCAAGGTTGCTGAAGCATGCATTTGCTGTTGTTAGAAGTATTTCCATTTCTTGACAGTTATCTTGTAGTTGATCAATCTTACCATCAATAATAGAAACCAAGGACTGTTTTTTTCTTAAGATATGATAAGTCAATTTACTTCCTTCATTTTCTATCTGTTGCTTTATTAAACTTAGTTCTTTTATCTTACTTGCACACATTTCATCGTAACTGTTTAATTGGCCACAAAGAAGATCTAAATCATCTCTCACAGCACGTAAATCTCTTTTAATGTTGTTATGGAACACTTTTACAGGAAGGATCACATGTTTTGAATGTTTTTTACACTGTATACAGGTTATTTCAGAACATTCACTACAGTACCCACTTACAATAATATCGTGTAAAGTACACTTACAGCTAGCAGAAACGGATCCAAGAACGGAACAGGATTTATTTTGATGGTCTGGTAGACAGTCACAACACAACTTGCGACCACAATACTCACATAGATCTATAATCCCATATAGTTCACACACAACACAGTCGTCATTATTCGACATTGTTTTTTAATCTTTGTACGCCTTCCTATAGGTTTTACTTCCTGTTTTAAAGTGAAAATAAATTTATCGGAAAATAGGAAGTAGGTGTCTGACAGAATTGAAAAGCGTTCACACATTACAACTCGTCACCACCAAATGTCTTTGAATATATTTTTTTAACAAGACAACTCTACTCTTACCTTGTTTATAGGCTGATCTTTTAGGCATATCATATAAATTTCAAATGAAAGTTTATTTTTAGAATTAATCGGGGTTATACATGCATATACATGTACATTTTAAAAGGTACCAGACGCAATTTAAAAATGAAAAAAAAATTAAGCCAATAGAAATTACAGAACGTACATTATAGGAATTTAAGTTGTTACTACTAAGCTTATGATATAATATGAGTCATTGCACACAAAAAATCTGCGCATTTAAGTCTTGTAATCAGAAACGAATGATGTAACAGCTGTGAGACATCGATCCATTCAATGTTAATCTTTACAAATATTTTAAAAAGCCACATCCATTTCAAATAATTGAGAATGTTGGTAGACATGTAAATGTATTACTTGTATTAAAGTTAAAATATGTTGGTTTGATAGATTAACTTGTATTTAAACTACATTCTAATTAAACTTCCGCAAAAAATTATCTACATGAAAAATAATTTACCATTTATTGTTATAACGAGAAAAGTTGCTGTGTCACATAGTGGTTTTAATGTTATGTAGGGGGCACAGTGTTACATAGGGGACAGTCGAGTACAGTATTAAAAAAAAGGAACGAGAATAGACGTGTTTGCGTGGCAAGCATATCCAACTTGTAAATCATAGTATCGGAAAACAGAAAGTAGGTATCTTGGTGATCTAAAAGGCGTTCACACATTGCAACTTGCCACTACCAAGTTACTGGCGAAATATGAGGTCATTCTGTTCTGAAGTACTTGGGAAAAATGTGAAATATACGTTGTGGACGAATGACCTCATGGACAAACGGACAAACGTAACAACTTATCACTGTCAAGCTGAACATTGACCAAATGTGATGTCATTCTGTGCAGTATTGCCCGAGAAAAGTGTGAAATAAACGTGTTAAGAGAATGGGCGGACGGACGGACAAGGTTAATGCGATATAGCACCACTCCTATCAGAATAAATGCCAAATGTCGCAAAAAGCATCTATCAAATCATAGACAATCAGCAAACAGGTGGTATGATCAAATTTCGTTTTCAAGCTAATTCTGCTGATAAGTTGAAACAGATCTCAAAATATATTCTTTACTCAAATTATTGCATTTCAATATGATTAGGAGTGTGCCCAATATCCCTTTAATAACATTAACGGTACCAATTGTATTGCATGCACCAGATGCACATTTTTTACAATTTAAGTCTCGTCAGTGATGCTAAAGTCCAAAATGTTTTATAAAATCCCAAACCTGAAACAAACATTGAAGAGCTGGTAAAACCAAAAGGGACCAAAGTTAAAGCCAAACCCGAACAAGAAATCAGAGATAAGCATGACGGATATAGCTCCATAATTTCAAACGATTCCAAAAATTTTATAACAGCAAATTTCAATTAAAACAACATCCGTATTTTCATGCCAAAACCTAAGTACTTGCTACTAGGCTGGTTATGCCCTCGGGATCTAACAGTCCAACAGCAGTGATATTGACCAGTGCTTGTTGTACAATTAGGAGTCATAAAATGCACCTTGTCCGTCAGTTCGTCCAACAAATATTTTCTTTGAATAAACGTTTGTACGTTAAATATTGTGTGCGAATTGACTTGATACTCAGAAAATTGTTGCACTGTTTTTTTTTAATCTTTGCATTAATAAATTGAATTACTGATTATTATTTATTAGAAATTCGTTTTATACATTATCTAGATTGTTACATTTTTGCCATTTTGAAGAAAAGGTAAAGAATACCGTTGCCGTTGCTGGAGTTGAAATGAAAAAACTATTAATCAAAGACGAAAGAACAAGGAGGTGGACGATTTTAGGTCGCCATACTGTCTTTAACAATGATCAAAACTCGTACGAAGAAAACTATAAAAGATTGGGGGTGACCATATGGTTAGTTGACGATTTCAATTATGTTATGTTGACTTATTTGTATATATTATTGTGCTCTCTAATACAGCTACTGCAAAAATGGGTAAAATATTTCAAGGGCAATAAATCCTATGAGGAGTCTATGGATTTCAGCAATAATGACTTACTTATAGATCTTATTTTGCTCATCATTTTTTATTTTAAATTTTCTCCCTATCTACCAAAGTTTTAAGCACAAATTTAAAAAATGAGTAAAAATCATCAATTAAGAGAATTAACATCAAGACGAAAAGGGTTGACTATTTTAAACATTAGTGGTTTATCTTACCTAATCACAAACATGAAAACTATGTAAAGGTTTCATAGCCCGTAAATAGACCACGACCAAGGGGGAAGGGCCAAATAATCTCCATGGAAATGGAATGTGCAATACTAATTATATATACGCAACTGCATTAAAGATATTGACCAACTACAAGTGGTACCCCTTTAACTGACCTAATCACGAACTTTAACATGTAAATAAAGCAAAAGATTCATAGTCAATAGCACATGACTAAAAGGAGCAGGGCCAAATTATCTCCATGGAAATGAGATGCACCAATGATAATTCAACTGCATACCAAATATCAGACCTACCACTTGTAGTTCTCCATAAACTGAAATTATCACAAACTAATACATTGTTCATGCAGCCAACAGAAACTGCATACTTAAGTCTCAATTTTTCCAGTTCGTTTAAGCAAGATAAATATGCAAAATGGGTAAATTTATCTTTTAAGGGCAATAAGTATTCTTAAGGTTAATTGCTGATGTCATACATATTGGTTTTATTTTTGCTGAACAGTTTTTCTACTTACTATTGCTCTCTTTCTATAATAGATCTGCAAAAACCAAAAAACAAAATTGTAAGGGGTACCGTAAAATCCTGTGTCTCGCCTCCTTTTGCTGTCGATAGAGAAAACGTGTAATTTTGACACGAATGCATTTTGATATATTATATTGCTTATACTAAATTACTTAAGCAAAAGATAATTTATTGGAATGGCTGTATCATCTGTGATCTAACTTTTTTAGAATTTGGTGTGTAATTCGAATAAGGTTAAGTGTAGATACACAATTGATATATATTGTAGTTTGTGTGAATTCTGCAAGTCTGCAGCAAACACGCAGAAGACATATTAATGCACATACAATTATCTGCTGCAGGTCAGCAGCAAACCCTGATTTGCATGATAAATTGTTTGCAGCAGATAAAGATTTTTATTTCAAAGTATTTGTAGGCATTGCTACAAGCTTGCTGCAAATGCACAGGGGTTCAGGTCGAGTTCTGTATATTTGAGCTTTGAAGAAAGAATTTTAACAATTTCAGCTTCTAGGTAAGTATGCCTTCTTTTTTTATTTTGCATCAATAGCATTTGGTATGTCACAGACCATCCCTTAATGTGCAGTAAAGGAAGCATAGGTTGGCTGTGCCAACTTTCTTATTGTTTAAACTGCTTTCTCATCAAGTAATAATCTACAGAAAGATATTGCACTTAACATGAACACATTATTGGACTAAGGGCTGATTGTCCTGAACCTTACTCCTAAATGTTACATTTTGGACAATAAGCAGCAGATACCAATTATAAAGTGGTTGGAGTATAGCAACCAAAGATCAAACCCCTACCCACATTATCCACGACAAGCCAAATACCATAAGAACAAAAAAGGTGTTTCAATAGTGAGAATAACCTTATAAGAAAAGAACAATACTAGTACTTTCTCTCCATATTTTGCAATCTATATCTACCCTGTGTCAGTTTTGAACAGGGTGATGGCCATTCTGTTTAATAAGTTATAATAACACTGACTATTCATTTAATTAACAAAATAAAATGTAGTAAGAGTTGATTACACACCTTAAGTACTTTCCCTATCCAACCACTCGAACATCACAACCAAGTCAAAAGTTTTGTGATAAAATAAAATATAGAGTTTTAGTATGTGGTCATTGAAATGACAACAGACATATGTCAGACCAAACAGTTTAGACATAAAACAAATGTATACCAAATAAGGATTATCCAGCTCTTCAACCTTCTGAAAGCTAGAAAAAATACACCATCACCACTGTATTAGCATCAATATGTCTCATATTCTGAGACATTCATCACCGACAAGACAAAAATTATATCAGTTTTATAATAATACTATACTGCTTTTCTATGATAATAGTCTGCACCTCTTCTTTGATATAGTTTATAATAAATACTCTAATAAAATATTTTGATGAGACTTTTATCATATATTACATTGTACACCACTGATTGTCTTATTTACTATTACATCTCAAAAACAAATTGTCCCAACCCAATATATCTGTAGTAACAAGTTTAGTGACTGGGTGTTTTTATTCCATGAGATTTTTATTTGAAAAGCATTAGTGAGTGTATTCTCGTTAAGCAATACAGAAAGCTTCAGATATTTGTTACTGCTTTTCGTATCTCACATTATATGAAATATTGTCTCAACAAAATCTATTCTTTATTTTTGTATAAATCTACCCAGTCAGTTTGAACAGGATCATGACAGTTCAATAACAGAACATCATAACATTAGTATACTTCATTTTAATAACAAAATATGAAAAACGTTTGAGTTCAATTTAATGCTGTCTGTCTCGACAAGCATTTATCATTTAGTATTAAAATGTAAAACATAGAGAAAAGATAAATGTCATATATTTATGTAATTTCAAAGTCTAATTTGTATGACCACTTTTTATTACTACTAATCTTTCCTATACAACATTTGATGTAACAAAAGTATAATATAGCAGCTGTATCTTTCATTTCCAGGGGAGTAAATATCTCCGTATTTCACATCAGATATCTTAAGCTTGTAATTAAGATATGATAACCCTGTTATTATGAACCAAAATCTCAGTAATTTACAGCATAGAGATTATAATGAAAAGATATTTCAGTAAGTGAAAATATTTTATACTTGCTTATCTCAGTATGTAGTAAAAGAAAAATATTTCAGTTATTTATTTGAAGATATCTTAGTTACCAAGAGTAGATACCATAATTATTAAGAGTACATAATATATTTCAGTAACCAATTTTCAAATACACCATCTTTTATACTGGTTTGGATCCTAATAAATTAAATTGATTCAGAATTCTAAATATCAAAATTTTGACAACATCTTCATAAGCTTTAATCTAGATTTCAGAACAAGCTTTTTTTAAATATTCATTATTTGATTTTTTCATTGTTTTTTTTTTAAATTTATGATATAGATTCTTTTATTTTTTAACTTCAATTAAAGAAAAATGCTTTTTTTATCTTAAGGCACACAATTTTAATTCCCTTGCTGTTATCTGTGCTATATACAGCAGCATGTACCATTGCTAAATTTGTTTACTTTTCAATTGTGTCAACAACTATTTCATGAAAAGTCGCAAAACGGGTTGAAAGGCTTGTCATTCAGTGGTTTTAGTTTGTTGCTGTCTTTTCTATTTGTTTTTGTTTATTCTTTTACCATTAATCAGACCATTAGTTTTTTTCTTTTTTAAATTGTTCCACATTTTGTCATGTCTGGGCCTTTTATAGATGACTATACCATATGGGTTTTGACCATTGTGGAAGGCCATACAGTGACCTATAGATTATATCCATTTTGACTCTGGAATTTGAGGGTAGAAATGCCCTTTACCATCAGGCGTCAAATGGTCACTTTCGGATACCGTTAGCTTCAAATAGGTTAAAATCTTATCGTGATTTGTCAAAATATCCTTATCTTGATTCGTCAGAGGTCTCAAATAATTATCCGTTACTGTTTATTTAAAAAAAAAAAAAAAAACGTGATTTGTCAAAATCAGTCGATTTTTTTATCGTCATGCACCAAAAATTACCGTTAACATCATTTGGCAAGATTTTTACCGTTATTCCTCAAGAAGATATCCCCATTACGACCCTCGAATATATACCATATTCTTTTCATGCATTTATCAGTTAATGGTACTTTTCTACTCAGGTAAAGTTTTAAGATTACAACCTTGAACATTCTGGTATAAATTCTCTTGACTGGATAAGCTCTTTTTGAAACATCAGCAATATATATCCCACAACTTTATCAATAATATGACAATAGAGAGCAGGGTTAATCAGTGGTGTGTTGTACACTTCATGTAAAAATTTCAGATGTTTTTCTCAAAGTATTTTCAATGTTTTCTTTGGACTAATATAAAGCAATGCAGTACAAAAAAATCTCTCCTTTCTTTCTTGTTTCAAAGACTCAAACATATATAGATTTTCTTTATTATTTTTTTATAAAAGGATCATTACAGTATATAAATTGTACTATAATATGTTTTGCAAAAAGAGTCTGAACATAGTCATAATCTTGATAGACATACAAACATATAAGATGTATCTAACAGTAAAAACTATGACAAATGTCACATGTGTATATATATATATATAATTGAAGTAAATTATATGGCCTTCCAAATACCATTTCGATCCCTAACATCACTGAAGAGTCATTAATTGTCGAAAACCGGATATGGTGTACTATTTTTTGCACCTTTTGTTTGCGGTATACCATCTTTTCTGCAAGTTTATTGTTTTCTGTTTGGTATTAAATTAATAATTAAGATCCATTTTGTAACATGTTGTGATCCGTTTATTTGGTAATCGCCAATGGCAGTCAGCAGGGTTAAGAACATCTGTTGTTCGACCTGTTAGTCAAATGCGTTTTGTTAAAATATACTTGTTCACTTTTTGGTCTTTTGGAAAATGTTGTTTGTGCTGTATGTAGACCCCTCTATCCAGAAATTTGTTTTGCATGCACACGTATAAAAATTGCAGTTTTATATCGATAGTTGAGCCCAAAGCTTGAACTAACTGATTTTTCAGTTTATGAAAGTAAATGAAAGAAAAAAAAAACGTTGATGAAGGTTTACGAAATATTGTTTTAGAAATAATTCATGCAAGCCATAGATTTGTTGGAAATTCACATGGCCTGGGTCGTTATATTCGAATTTTATCTCAATCGTTAGCGAGGAATAAAATTAACGAATATAACGGCCCAGGCCATGTGAAAATGATAACCAATCTACGACTTGCATGCATTATTTCGATTCTAATAGGACAAATATTGTAATTTGAAAAAAAAACTGAAGCGAAGGTAAGATTGCCGTGTGTATGGCTGTTCTATGTTAACCCCTGTAAGATAGAAGCTACAACTTTTAAATAAATCTTACTCTTGCATGAATTATTTTTTAAATAACCACTAGAAAAAATGTGTTCAATCCTTATAATTCTTAACCCAAACATATTTTTTTTCGTTGGCTACTATTCATTCTAAAATCCAAAGTTGACTGTCGTAACTAAGGAGTGAGCCGCCATGTTGACTAGCTGAAATTCATGAATGTAAGAATGATGCAATAGAATAGAAAATGAAACAACACCTACCTCTAAACTCCATTTTAATGCGATATTATCCGAATTTAGAGCATACACGTAAAGGAATAATCTTCAGCTTGAGAGTTTTTTTTCGTATGACGTCATGTTTTGACATGACGTTAATGCGCCAAGATCATTCATGAAATTTCGCGGGATTTTGTTTTATTTTGATTTAATACATTTTTTAACATCTTATGCATTAAATCGTTTTGTTATGCATTAGAATATGTATAACGGTTCTGTAGTTTCATTTTCAATTTGAATTTGAACACAACGTAATCCACATAGTATTTGCACATAGGTTACGATACATGTGGATTTACGTGGGGGGTAAATAGTAACAGCCATTAATATGTACATCTCTGAGTCTGCGCTAAGTGTAGATATATCGAGAATTTTATGACGCTGTTGTTTACAAAGCGAAAGTAGCATGTCATATTAGAATGTGAGGCAGTGAAAAGAGGAGAAACAAATGTACTAAAGGAACAGGTTCTCGAGTGTCCCTTGCATTTCTACCTTACGCTCCTCACCTACTTATGTACTTAATCGCATTTTAAATTTTTAGTAAATTTTGTTGATAATATCATAATTAATGGACCCTACGAATAAAAGCAATCTAAAAGACAATACGCATATCTGCTGTTTTTTTGTGAAATAGTAGATATAAGCTACTCAACCCCTTTTACTTGCAAAATATTTGCAAATCACAATATCAGAGTTGAAGGATGAACTTTTTTGAATGCATATAATGACACTGAAAACGAAACTCCGACAAGCAGTTAAGATCTGGGATAATTTTAAACAACCAAATGTGCTATCCCTTGAAAGTCACTTTTGTTTGCATCTGCAAATGAAGTGAATGAATGCAGTTGAGCCTATTACCATAAAAAATCGAATATGCTATAAAAATTATAATTCTTATCAAATATAAGAACAAAACTTATAAGAAAAAATACCATCACACACTAACGTAATAAACTGTATCATTTTGTGCGTTGGAAACTTTTATTAATTACGAATGTTATAATCGTCAGACTACAAAGCGTCTGATATTTTCTAGATATAAATTTAAAAATGCAGGCGTTCCTAGTTTAATGCGATCACGAACCTTTTTGAATTTTTGAATTCATACTTTCGAATTAATTCACCATCAATCACTTTAATAAATAAAAGCATGTATACAGTCACATAAATACAAACAGCAACGTATCACAGACAACTCTATTGAAAGGACATAAGGTTTTAAACAAATTGTTCCGCTTTTTTCCAGGATGCCTGTGCAACTCCTTTATAAAGCAAAGGTCCATTTCTGTGCAAAAACAGTGCTGGCCAGACGACATACACTACTGTATCCCCACTCTTAACAAATTCTTTATACGTATTCTTGTCCAACGGCATACCTGCTTTCAAATCGTCATCTAGATACATTACAGGGTCCTGAATCGCCATAGACCAGCAGAGATAGACACATTTCTCAAAAAATGTCGTCTCCATCAAAAGCTGCATAACATTTTCATGTTTGTTATGGTAGTCCCAATCGTTCAGTATATTTTTACACACTATCTGAAAAAAATGATAAGAAATATGAATATGCATTAGTACCACTGGTGGGATAATACTAAAAATGTCTAGACCTGCTTTTATCTTTCATTCTTATGATATAAGGGCAAGATATTAGTACTCAACTTTACTTATTCACTTGTGTTAGTAGCAATAGAGTACCCGGTCTCGCTCTTTTGGAATTCATGTGATTCTTCGGTTTTAGTTTGATTTGTCTCTTCCTAATCGATTTACTAGATTTAAACATTAGTAAACTACAGTAACTGTTTGTGTATTTTTTTTTTTCAAATAGGAAACAGGTGCAACAAAATGAATAATCATTTTAAAATTCTTTTTGTGCGAAACCTTTATCTGATCAAAAGAAATTAAGTGTCATCCTTCTGATCACATGGTACGATAATATCAAGTTTTCTTTTCTAAACTTCCGTCACTGCCTATTTGTACGACGAAAAAAAAACCAGGCGTCATTTTTTCTTGTTTTCTGTGAAAACCTTCTAAAATCATATAAGTCATGGACATTTTTTATTCAGAATTTTGGGATGGTTAAGTTGAACATTTTGGACAGTTAATTGTAACTTAATAAACAAAATATAAAATACAATTACATCAGCAAAGATACTAAATGTTATGACTAAGAAACATATTGGACTTCCCCGGCCGTTTCAAATGCCTTAGAATAACCTTAAGATTAACCTTTTTTGGCTTGAAACTTTTCTTGTTGATAACAATTGATAAGTCACCACAAATAGCATAGGTATATTCAACACTATATTCAATAACATTTTTCAAGCTGTATTCTAAACCATATTTTGAGTGTAATGTTATTTAAACATTCAAATGTAAATGATACGTATTCTAAATAATAATCAATTAATTGTTTTAAGTCATTGAATTAATTCATTTCAACACAGAAGTGCAACGTTGTTTCAAAGTTAAAGTATACAAACTTATATTAATCCAAAAAGAAACCAGTTGCAATCATTAAATAGCAATAGTGTAATCATGAATTGTATAAGTAAGCCCTTTAAGCCAAAAGAAAGATGTGAAGGAATTTTTTCACTTTGTAAATGTAAAAATAAAAAACTTTTTTTAGCTGCAGATAAAAAATCAAACCTGTAGAAGTTAAAAAAAATCATTTACTATAGGTGTAGTTAGCATGATAAAATTACCTTTTTTCCATATAAATACTTTGCAAAAGCTTCAGAGTTTGCTCTTCTGTGAATAGATGCCTCTCTACATACAGGTAAGTTTGCAGTTTCCTCTTTCTTGGTAAAAAAGAAATGTTAAACAATCAGACAATTATGATTTTAATAATGATAATTAAAATTTTTACGGGTTTGGAAAATTGACGATACTGCTGAAAGCAATGAACTTAATGCTTACGCCAAATTATCACGTTTCACTTTGCTAAAACACAATTCGTTGTATTCATTGTTTTTACGCATAATCTATCTTTCAAATTTAAAACTTTATTACTGTATCAAATGGATTTACAATAGAGGAAACTTTTATTTTAAATATCTTTTATATTTTTCTACAGTGGCATGATGCTATCTTCGTTAAATGCGTTTAGTCGTGCATCTGTAATCTCAGATAAAATATATCATTCAAACTATGGCACTATTGAAGCACTGGTCATTTGGTGAACTGACAATCCATCAGAACCAGTAACTTCAAGTGACAGATACCGATTTAAGCATACATATGGTTCTTGGGGATAACCTTAATCAGGTAAGCTCATGAATCTGTGAAACTTGTTTTGTGTCAACAGTAGCCTTTTATTTGACCTAAAAAAAAAAACCTTTAAACCTGTATACACAGTACAGCAATGGCAAACGAGACGATTTTAATTTTAAAATTATCAATTTCCCCCACCTTAGTAGCAATATACCAACTTCACCTGCATATGGTATATACATTTCCCAACTCATTCGGTATTCAAGAGCTTGCAGCTGCTAATCAGACTTTGTAAAACGTCATGAGATAAATGTAATTGTATATTTTGCAGTAGATTTTTAGATCTTTTAAGAATCCACATCTGAATGACACCAATAGTTTAATATACCTCATGACAATATTTTTGAAATCTCCTTCGTGAATAATGTAAAGGTTTATGTCGGAAAGGTTTATGTCGGAATATCAGTTTTACTTCGGTGCTGACATGATTTATAACAAACCTTAACTTTCTAAACTTGTCCGTATTTAAAATTTGAAATTATAAAGAAACTAAGGTTTCAACTCCCTCAGGCAAAGTTGACTTAGATCGAATTGGCAATTTTTTAGGTAATTTTTGGTCATATATATAGCTCTTCAACTGTTTCGGTTCTTACACATTCTTGGCTTTCAAATATTCGGCTTTGCGCGTTCCTGATATAGGTTAACCCAGAAAAGCGCTTCGGACGAATGAAATTTATCACATGTTGTTTTCATTTTTTTTTTTTTTTGCTGTGAATTCCGAGTTCTTTAGTTAGACATTCAACTTATAATGTTTTTGTACATACAATCAATATTGTTAGATGCTATGTGTGTTGGAACAACAACATTTTTGTCGTAGATACATGATACATGAACCTCGCGGTTCTTGATTGGGTTGGAAACCCTCTGTTCATTATACGTTGTAGATATTGAATTCGCTTCTGATTGTATGACCGAACAGTTGTCAGATATAGTATCCTATTTTGGTTCATTTGGCTCGCGCTTTACCAGTTTCTTGACATAGTCTTCAACTGCATTCATCAGCTACCTGAAGATTTTGTTCCAGTTGCTTGGCTTTTGAATTCGATATTTAATGCATTTGGCTAACAACTCTTTTAGTTGTTGTTTATTGTTTACGATGCCAAGGTCTCCAGTTATAACATGACCAGCTGTATTATATTCGTACGGGGAAGACGAGCAGTTGCGATCGGGAGGTTTGGAGTTTACATTCTGGAAGGAAAAGGTCTCTAATACCCTTTTGTTGTTGAAAATCTTGGATGAAAATAGGATTGATGTCGGTATATGAAATGACAGGTGTAGTTTTATCTTTGAATCATTCAGTTAATGATTTCTGCACAGGTTTTTATTTGAAAATATTTCTACTTTTGATTACATCTAAATCCCTATAAGCGAATTCTACATTAAAACAAGAGTGCAAACGCTGAAATGTCTTGCCTACTTTACTTATTAATATCATGATTGAATTCATGTTGAAATTCTGTAATATGGTGGTTTTGATATAAGTATCACATAAACATAACATTATCAATGATCTATTTAAATGAGGTCAAGGTCAGATGATCCCTGCCAGACAGACATGAACACCTTACAATCAATTTATACACCAAATATAACCAAAATAAACTTAACATTGACAAATTAACCAGGAAAATAAGGTTAAGGTCAGATGAAACCTTCCAGACAGACTTGTTCATTGTCCAATTATTCCATTTACCAAATATAATGGCCTTATTGCTTATAGTATCTGAGAAATAGACCAACCACAAAAACTTGGCATTGTCCAATGAACCATGAAAAATGTCAAGGTCTGATAACACCTGCCAGACGGACATGTACATTAACAATCATTTTATACACCAAATACAACTGATCTATTGCTTATAGTATCTGAGAAACAGACCAAACCACAAAAAAACATAACACTGACCAATGAATCATGAAAATAAATAAAGGTCAGATAAAACCTGCCAGTCAGGCATGTACACCTTACAATTATTCCTTATACCAATACACAAAATATAGTATGCCTATTGCTTATATATTATCTTAGATACAGACTTAATCACGAGAACTTAACCTTAATCACTGATCCATGAAATCAGATCGAGGTCAGGTGAACCCTGTTTGACGGACATGTAACCATGCAAGAATTCCATGTAGCAAATATAGTTAACGTATTACTCATATTAGTTGTGTATTTCACATGCCAAAGTATATATTTTTTTTTATGCAGTCGCTGTAGCATGAAAATGAGGTCAAGTACAATTGACATATGACAGACGAAAACTTCGTAAACTAAGGCATCTGCATACAAGGTATGAAGTATCCAGGTCTTCTACCTTCTGAAATATAAAGCTTTACACAAATATATATATAAAAAGTTTAATCCGTCGCCGCCGCCACCGCCGCCGGATAGTAATCCCTATGACTCGCATTCTGCGAATTTCTCATCTTTTGAAGTAGTTGTCACGGATTTGAATGGTCTGAGGTTAGCAATGTCCATAATAACTTATCAAAACGATTTGAAAGTCTGTGAATATTTGTGTTATATATAGATCTATATACAATCTAATTAAAACAAAAATGAAGTTGGATACTTAATGTTTACTTCTCGATCATATAAAAATCACATTTCAAGTCAGTCGGGACGCAGAAAGTGTAATGCATGTTTAGCTATGTAATATTAATTACATAAGGTTGTTTTTAATTTTTTCAAAGACTAAATTCTGTAATCGGCTTATATGTAAAAGTTTCAATAAACATACATACCGACATAGGACCCAAGCACATCGTTTCTGCAAACGTCGTTCCTAGTTTTTGTAATTGTCCGTCTGCCATTTCAAAGCATTCTTTATAGCAACACTTTAAAAAATAAGAATGACGATTGTGTTCTTCAATAGAATGTCAGTCATCTTTTCATCGTGAAATCTTAAGGTTAAATATAATATATGCAAAATTTTAGTGTAGGAAATGGCTTGCAAGTTTCCTTAATTGTTTTTTTGCTTAGTGCGGTTCTAAACAAATTATTGTTTATGAATAAATGTTCATCGGTATTTGGATTTACTTTGAACTAAAAAAAAAAGACCGAAGAAATTACTTTCAAACATACAGTCTGTTTTCTGTCTATTTGATGTATACCTAATATTTACTTCTATCTCCCGTGTAGTTACTTGAGAGTTAATTACCAAGATGTAATCAATTGTCACGGTTTAAACTGCAAAACATGTATTAAGGTAAAAAGAACAAGTAAAAGAAAGACGAACGCATGTTCATTATTAATCATAATTTAACAACCCTGCGAAAGCTTATAACATAACGAGACATGTGGTTTCAAACAAAGGGAAATTGAAACGAATATGAAATTGTCTTATGATATATAATTTGTCATAGTATAATATGTTCGACAATTATTTATTAAAGTTTGATATATATTCATAAATTAAAACCGTATTCTGTATATTGTCTATTATTGCAATGTGGCGAGCAAAACACAATTTTGTACAAATATTGGTTTCATGGGTATTCATACATAATTGCATCACCAATAGTTCAAAACCAAGGAGTTCAATAACCTCAGTCTATAACATTATGAGAGTATGGAGAGTGTACTGTTTTACTCTCGACAGGGAAATCATTACATTTCTGTCTTTCTTAGTTATTAATTCAGAAGTTTCAGCATATACAATCTTCATGTTCATTTAAATTCTTCGATATATGCAATGTACACGCTTTAAAAAATTATGATTGGTCTGGTGAGTGGCCTAAAAGCTTTTATTATCTAAGAAGAATCAAAACAAGTTTTTATCAGAGTCAAGGAATACAGGTGGAGTTACAAAACAACATTACGGTTATCGTAGTGTTTATTCTAGTGATTGTCCAGTTGGTACAGTAACTATTGTCTTCCAACTTTTTATTGAATAAAAAACCATTGAAATACGTGTTTTTATTATTGATATTAGACGTATAACTTGTATACTAATTATTTAAGTCCCATTCAATTTACAAATATCTTTATTTGACCATTTTGAATAAAAAAAAATATTTGAATTTCCACCTATTAAGCCTGAATTTGAAGCAGTAACCCAATTAAACTGCATGAATATATCATATACGTTTTTTTAAGATATTCAGTTTTCCGTATTTAGGTCCCTATTGTTGGACAACAGTAATTTTATTGTACATAAAAAGGGCAGCAGGAATTATAACAAAACCAGGCATAGAGAGAACACCAAACAAACTACCAATATCTTTTATTTTTATCCTTGCTTTTCAAAACGAATAATAGTAAGTTTTCATACTACAGGTTAATTCAGAACACAATAAATGCATGACTTAATTGTTTGACATTCGTATTTCCATAACGCTTCATGAAATTTTTTTATAGCATGTAATCACCTGTAGATCAATCCTGGTCAAGGCTATAATGAACACAAAGCCATCCTTTTTTTACGTTTCCATACATATGTTCTTTTTACAACTTTATGAAAATAGTCCTGATTCAGAAACATCTAATTCAATCGCACATCCTATTTGTTTAGAAATTGGACGGGAAAATGTGATTTATTTATGGTTAGAACGTAAAAAGTCATCCAATAATTTGGAAGGTACACAGGCAAATTTCACTCACATGAATTTCTCGTGAATTTTAATTCATGTGAATCTCACGTGAGATTCACGTGAATTTCACCTCAAACGAGCTTATACGTGAAACTCACGTGAAATCAGTTCATGTGAGTTTCACGTGAATCTCATGTGAAACTCAAGTGAATTTCATGTCGAAATCACATGAATTTTTTCACGTGAAATTCACATGAATTTTGAAAATAAGTTTATTCAAATAACATTTAAATTTTCAAATTTAATCAAAATTATGAAAAATACCAATTTTTTGGGGAATTAAATTCACGTGACATTCACGTGAGAAATTTCAAGTGAGATTCATGTATAAAGAACATTTTACTCTTAACAACAACCATAAAAATCCTATTTCTCGTATCAAACATAAACTAAAAGAACTAGCCAAGGAATTTGTTTTTGTCCCGGCTGATAAAGCTGCTAATAATATCATTATAGTTTGACATAAATTTTACATTGAGGTTCTGCAAAAGGAAATCACGAATTCACCAACATTCCAACTGACTTCATTTTCAGAAAACGATATCTGTAACAAACATAAACTATTAGCTACGTCTTTACAAGCAGAACCAAATACAATGAAAGTCCCAACTATGTACTTGCTTCCGAAGCTACACAAATAGATTTATTTCGTCTTCAAGTCATTGTTCCACTACTAAATTGTCTATTCTACTTACTAGTGCACTTGGTACAATCAAAAACCTGATAATAAATTGTTCAAATAAGGCCTTTGAAAATAGTGGAATTAACTACTTTTGGAGTGTCAAAAACTCGTTGGAAGTACTTGATAAATTGCATGCATATATTGGTGATTTTGAATCTGTTCAATGTTTTGATTTTGCTACCCTATATACCACTTTGCCTCATATTCTTATTAAGAAAAAATTCACACACCTAATTAAATGGGCATTTAAAAAGTCGGAATGCGAATACATTTGTTCAAACTCTTTTAGGTCATTTTTTAGTAGCAACAAACAAAAGAGCTATGTCAATTGGACATGCTTTGATACTATATCTGCCCTTGAATTTTTAATTGATCACATTTTTGTTCGCTTTGGAGATTCCGTATATTGTCAAGTTATCGGAATTCCAATGGGGACTAACTGTGCACCAATTATTGCGGACCTGTTTTTGTATTGTTATGAGTTACAATTTATGACTAAAATCAGCAAAGACCCATCGAAACAGCATCTGATACAAAAATTTAACAATACTTTTAGATATTTGGATGATATATTGGCTCTCAATAATGACGACTTCAGTATGTATACTAAAGAAATTTATCCTGTTGAACTAACTTTAAATAAAGCTAATACTAACAATGACCACTGTCCTTACCTTGATCTTGATATCTATATCATTAACGGGAAGCTTAATACAAAAATTTATGATAAAAGAGATGATTTTTCATTTCCTATCGTTAATTATCCATTTTTAGATGGTGACGTTCCCTTGTCACCATCTTATGGTGTTTATATATCTCAACTTGTACGATTCGCTCGTGTATGTAACAACGTATTAGATTTTAGAGAGAGAAATTTATGTATTACTGAAAAATTATTACACCAGTGTTTTCGATATCATAACCAAGTCAAAACATTTACTAAATTTTATCATCGGTATAAGGACATCATTCGTAAATATAACTCAACATGCAGACATCTTATACGTTCGGGTATTTCACATCCAATCTTTTATGGTAATAGTCTTTACAAAGCACAAAAATGTCAGTATTCACCTCAAAAGCTAACAAAACCTTTAAACAGAGTTATTAAGAAGGGATATAGTTACGATACTGTTGTCAGGTCATTAAAGATTGCAAATTTCTGCTTTAATATTGATTCACTTATAGGGTCTTTGCATCGGAATTAAACATATTTATTCTAAAACCAGTTGTTGGCATGACACGGGTTATGTTCTTCTCATATATTTTATGCTGGTATAATACTAAACCCCTAACAGGAGGGATTGTACCTGATATTCATATGATGAAGACATAATCTTTCAATCAGTTTAATTGAGGTCTTGAGCTGGCATGTCAGTAACTGCTAGTAGTCTGTTGTTATTTATGTATTATTGTCATTTTGTTTATTTCCTTTTGTTTCCTATTCTGACATTGGACTCGGACTTCTCTTAAACTGAGTTTTACTGTGCGTACTGTTGTACGTTTGTTTTTTCTACATTGGCTAGAGGTATAGGGGGAGGGTTGAGATCTCAAAAACATGTTTAATCCCGCAGCATTTTTGCGCCAGTCCCAAGTCAGGAGCCTCTGGCCTTTGTTAGTCTTGTATCATTTTTAATTTTAGTTTCTTGTGTATAATTTTGAGTTTAGTATGACGTCCATTATCACTGAACTAGTATACATATTTGTTTAGGGGCCAGCTGAAGGACGCCTCCGGGTGCGGGAGTTTCTCGCTGCATTGAAGACCCATTGGTGGCCTTCGGCTGTTGTCTGCTCTATGGTCGGGTTGTTGTCTCTTTGACACATTCCCCATTTCCATTCTCAATTTTATAAGCTCGTTTGAGGTGAATTTCACGTGAGCAAAATTTCCCTGTGTATTCTATTATTTAAGATGTTTCTTTGCATTAACTAAAACTAGTTATATTTGCTGAGGGTTTAAAAGTAAATTGTGAAGTGAAAAAAAAATTGAAAACAAATAGACATTAACGTTTATGTCATACTTCAATTAAGAAATTAGTACGGAAACTGGTTAAAATTTCAAGTCACTAAAGTACGTTTACCTAATGTCTCTTTTTGTTGTGTCTTTGTGTCGCTGTTTTATTAACATTTGTTCTACATCTCATTTTATTCATACATGTATGCATGTATGAAATAAAATGTCAAGTGGATGATGATTTTTTAATTTTACATTAATAAAATTTATTATTTACTGACATCTAATATCTAGAAGACAAACTGGAAAACAAATATTGAAAACTGAGCTGAACTAAATGATCTTTACCTCCAATAATCTGTGAAGATGACGTATGATGATTTCCTCATTTTCAACATCTTTCATATCACTGTAGTATTTCTTCACATTTCCTACATTTTCCATAGCATCAGTCCATTCATTGTCATACAATTCCCCATACTTCTCACCGATTTTCATTGGCCGATTCGGGTCGCCAAGGTCGGTTATAGATGGATTGCCTTTCGTTAATTTTTCTCCAGCAACACTGCTAAGCCTATATAAGTATTTATTGTTTTTCAAGCATATTTGGTATTGATAAATGACTAAGAAATGGCAGTAGTAGACATAAAAGGCCTAATATGTAAGTACTTGCTTGTCTGTCTCCAGACATAATTTTTCAAGCAGCGGTAAATTGAAGTAAGTTGTTACCAGAAACCTCCTTTCAACAAAATTTTATGTAATGATTTGAAAGATATCCATACTGAATATTACCGATTCTTACAAACTTTCAAAATATAGACGCCACAATTGGATACCAACTTGAGAGTTTAGTATACACTTTATAAGGTTAGAAGGGAGCTTGAGTGCTTACACACAGTCATGTTTATCTCAAATAACATATGTGTCTGTCACAAGTCAGAAGCCTGCAATTCAGTGGTTGTTGTTGGTTGCTGTTTGTCTTTTTTGTTTTTCGTGTATTGTTTTGTGATTAATCAGGCAGTTGGTTGATCTCGTTTGAAATGTTTTACATTTTGTCATGTCGGGCATTTTATAGCTCACTATACGATATGGGTTTTGATTACTGTTGTAGACCGGACGGTGATCCAGTGTGCATACATCTACGTCATTTGGTCTCTGGTGGCCAAATGTGTAGTTGGCAATCATACCACATCTCCTCATTTTTATAAGCAACAATGGCCCTTTTTTCAATTCTGTTGGTTGTTGCTGTCCAGTAAGCGGATAAGCAATATCTCTTTTATTACAAGTAATTTAAACTGAATGTCTGAAAAAAATGAATTTTAATGTTTTATTTTTGCATAAAATAGTGGTTTTTTTCGATAACTGCGAGACGAAAAATGATGTACTTCCTGTTCCAAACAGCTCTACTAGGGCATGTTACTATTGTAACTATCGGTAATATAAGAAAACAAAAGTGACCACTTTGTTTCGTCTTCTATAGAAAACTTAAAGAAAGTGGTAAGCGAACATTGTTTGAACTATTGCGTATTTGCAGAAAGTGGGAAAAAAAAAAATATGTTTGAACATAGTTTTTCTTGATCCTACATGAAACTTAGACCATCGAACCACGCGTTCCTTCACCTAGGAAACCTACTCCAACAAATATTTTTTTATTTTTTTAGAACTTATAACAAATTATACTTTGTATTGTTAAATTGATAGTTTATAAAGTATTGAATCATCATTTCGACAACCTAAAGTCAAATTGGATATTTTTTTTCAATTTAAAAAATAACCCAAGCAGCATTGCTGTAGATCAGAACTTCGGATTTGATGTTGTTCTGCCGATAATTAATTACATTAAACTAATGGAAATGGTTTGAACATATTTCAGTTTACGAAGTATTTTTGAAACGATAACGTCTCTAACGACATACAATGTTTACAACTGGAGCAAAAGAAGGGGTGTCCGTTGTAATTCGTAGAGGCTAATACAACAATTCTGATGTTACTTTAATTACAAATAAAAATGACAAAATTACATATCCTGCAATGAACTTTAATTGAAAAATGTTTTAATACCTATTGTTGTTTTTTTTTTTTTTTTTTTTTTTAACTGAATTTTATCACTTTCTGTAAATGCATTTCGTTTTTTTTTGCGATCAGCTAAGGTACATATTATAATACAAGAAATTTGAGTGACTTATTAAATTTAAAACATCGACCCGACTTTATGACTAACTTGCAAAATCTATCAAATATTGAAATAAACTGTTGACCCAGAGATATGTCTCGCCTATATTCAATTTTGAAGGATAATTGCAATACTTTAACGTGTAAACTATGCAAAATGTTCAAAGTCAAGGAACAATGACTGATGGTGCAGGGCCAAATAATCTCCTTGTGGAAATGACAAATCCCAATGCTAATACAACTGCATATCAAATACAATTGACTTACCATAAGTGAGTGGTTCTCTTTTAAATGACATAAACACAAACTTATAAAAGTAAACTATGCAAAGTTTCAACGTCAATGAATCATTGTACCATATGCATATAGAGAGGGCGGGGTCATATAATCTCCATGGAAATGAGATGTGCCGATGTTTATACTACTGCATACCAAATATCATCGACCTGCAACCAGTGGTTCCCCCTCAAACTGACCTTATCATAAACTAATGCCTTGTTAACGCAGCCGCCGCTCACGCCGCCGGAAACAGTGGCATAAGTCTCGCTTTCTCGACTAACCGAGGCGAGAAAAAAATTCAAGATGTCTAGCATTTTTTCAATTATCAAAACAATTTTCTTTCTTTTACCATTATGATGATAGATCAATGGGATATAAGTTTAATCGAACTGACAACCTACATTACTTAACCTTCAGGTACCTACACATGATTGAAGGGCACAAAAATAGATTAAAGATAGATAAATAAATTGAGCCTATCAGGCAAAATTTATAAATAACGGATGACGTCATATACACTTTGTTTTAAGAGAGTTATTCGCACATTCGCTTCCTTCGGGTTACACTCAATATCAACTCCATTATAAAAAAAAACGGACTCTATCTTTTTATTTCAAAATCATCATATAACCGTATGTTATTATCTTGTTTAAATTTAGTTTTCATGACTGCGGACTTTCTAGTAGAGTTCGCTAATTATGTTAGGGTAAATGTTATTTTGAAGGATAATATAACTATCCATTAAAGAAAATAGGATAACAAACAATTATCTTCACTGGCTATCAAAAATAGGCAAAGTTGCCACTTTTTAACGTCCTTGTGATCAGTTACCGCAATCCTAAAAGTTCAAACATCCTTTTTTAAACACAACTGGATTGCATATTCCTAAATAGGAATCGTCCAATTCTTATCGTTTTGAAAAGATATCGGACTGATTTAATATATTTTCCAACTATCCTCTTTCTAGTTCTTAACAGTAGTAGTTCAGTGGTTGTCGTTGGTTCATGTCTGTCATATTTGTTTTTCGTTAATTGTTTTGTTATAAATTAGGCCGTTAGTTTTCTCAATTGAATTGTTTCATATTTTTCATGTCGGAGCCTTTTATAGCCGACTATACGGGATGGGTTTTTCTCATTGTTGAAGGCCGTACGGTTGCCTATAATTCTTTACATCCGTTTTATTTGAACTTTGGTGGATAGTTGTCTCATTGGCAATAATACCTCATCTCCTTAATTTTATATACCAACAAGTCCGTTAAGTTACCTGTCAAAACATACAAAATTTACAAACTTATCTATATGTTGTTATAGGCTTTGAACTAGTTTTCAGTAACTGTGAGAAATCTAATACCGGTACTTTGTGTCTTTTGTCCTTTTGCTTCTTGTCGATCTGATGAATCAACCCTTAATTTGAAACAGATTTTGACAGGTTTTTTTTTCTAAAATTGCTCTGTTACATTACTCTCCAATGTTAGGGGAGCGCTCGCAGACATGTTTTCCCCATCACATTTTTTAGTCTGTAAATCAGTTTTTGTATTTAGTAGCGTTCTGTGTTTTTCGTCTGTTGTTTGAGCATAGAACGGATTGTTGGGTTTCATATTTAAATTGTTGTCACATGTGGAGCAGAATCAGCTTACCCTTCCGGATCTCCTTCGTTTTTTGGTGGGGTTCGTGTTGTTCAGTCTTTAGTTGTTTCTATGTTGTGTTTTGTAGATTATTTGTCTTTTCGTCATTTTTTGTTTTTGCCATGGCGTTGTCAGTTTGTTATCGACTTATGAATTTGAATATATTCCTTTTGTATCTAACGTCTTCCTTAAAACCAGTATATTGATAGTTTTTATTTCAAAACTTCACTGTTAACTATATCCAAACCTTGTCTGCAAATCGTCTTTCTCTCTTTTTAAAACCTGTATATCTTTTCCAAGGTTGGAATTTTCGGTCTGTACATGAAGTAATCTATGCTTCATTGACTCTAAGTCATTTTTCGTTTTCATTAAGTCATCATGCTGGTTAAGTACTCTAAATAGAATAGATGATATAGCACATGAAAATGAAAAAAAGTGTTAATAAAAATGATAAAACATAAAAAAAAAACAAATATAGTGTTGCAACAATGTAATGATTATCTATCTTATGATACAGAAAGTTTCTGAGTTCAATGGAAACTGAATTTTGTGTTTTGAAAAAAAAATGATATATTATACAGTAACTGTTTGTATTATTTCATACATTTTCTCTTTTTGTAGTTATATTCTATGCTGGAAGATAAAGCTCATTTGCATTATCTGAATTTTAGATGCAAGTTTAATTTGGAAAGGTTTTAATTTATTACGGTAATAAAACAAGGAGTACTAATTTTTATGCAAATATAATGTCGCCACATTTATGCTTAATGTCGTTATATTTGAGACTTGCAAACACTACTAAAACCACACAGAGATTATAACAACCTTAGTTGATGCCTTAGGACATGAGTTGATATATGTGTTTATTGCATTTGAATTACAACAGCAGGGATATTCATGCAATAAAGAACTTATCTTTTCTTGAGTTTTTTTTTCAATTTCTGTTCATGTACCAATAAGTATGACCTGGTAATAAATTAATGTTTTCTTGTCATTTTGGACCATAACGAAAAAGAGAAGGTATGATAAGGCCACTTTTTGGCGCTTGAAATTCTAAATATAAGTCTACCAAAGTCATACTTCAGATGTTGATTAGACATTTATTTAGTTGATCAGAAATTACAGCGTCAAACATTTTGCATTTAGTGCAAAACTACAAAAATCTCATATTTAGATTTTCTCATTCATATTAAGATATGAGTCAAGGCGTGACTCAAAAAGATATTTTGCAACAAGATTTATTTTGAAAAGAAAAACATTGGCTGCAGATATCTTTGTACAGAAGGCTTTGGCTCATATCTATTTTGTCCAAAAGCTATGTGAACAATAGCCATTTTAGGTCAAACCTATAGATTTCAATATATTTGTGACAGCATTCTGACATTACAAGTTACCTTTCTGAACTAAAGAGTCTAGATTACATTTGCATGTTCATTTATCAATAAAATAAACATAGTTTGAAAAACTTTATAAATTTTGACGTGACTCGGTATTTATGCATCCCTCCATCGGGTTTTTGACCTTTTAACTTGGGCATTCCTGGTGCAGGTGGATCATGATGTGCAATTCGGAAACAAAGGGTATTTACAGTGTTGTTTCTATTTTGTTTAACCTTGTATTTATATTTACTTAATTTTTACCTTATCGAGAAAATGTATATTATATACTATATGTACTATCAACGACAAAAACTTTTTTTGTTGACATCATTGTCAAATTTACGTTACTGGTGAGTCTTTTGTAGATGAAACGCGCGTCAGGCGTACAAAATTTCAATCCTGGCATCTATGATGAGTTTATTACTTTCTACTACACCTTTTTGGTTGGCGTCTTTGTTAGATTAATTTGTATGTTTGTTTGAATTTTTTAGTCAGTTGTGTTGTATGCCTGTGATGTATGTCTACACAGTTTTGGCTGCTGGGTCCTAATTATTGTCACATATCCGGGAACAATAAACAACTGTCATACAAGTGGGATGTTTAGCTAGTTATAAAACCAGGATTAACCCACCATTTTCTTCGGAAAATGCCTATACCAAGTCAGGAATATGGCAGTTGTTTTTCACTTGTTCCGTTCATTGATAGTGTTTGATTTTGTCAGTTTTTATGGACATCCCCTTTTTGAATTTGCCTTTGACGTCGGTATTTTTGTTAAACGTTCTTACTATTGTTCGTAATTTTTGGGGCCACATAACGGCTTGTATCATACCTCGATTTTAATGACTTTTTGTTAGAATTTTTTAACAGAATTGAACAAAATGCACTTAAATATATTCAAATAACTTAAACTGTTTCATCCTAGTGTTTTATCCTTACTTTGTTTTTAAGTTGTCCTTTTCTAGTTTTAGTGACTGCATGTTCTCTTGATTTCTTATCTGTGACTGCAGATGAGTTTCTTGTGCTTGACATTTCTCAATGAATCTATCTTTTTTTCTCGACTCCTCTCTCTCCATTTCCAGACTAAAATTTAGGTAAGATTAAAAAAGCAAAACATTAAATAAAACTTTTGAAATATTGAAGTACAATTATTATCTTAAGGCAATTTTAAACAGATCCTTTTTTTAAAACAATCATTGTTTATCTGAACCACGGATGAACAAGATTCGTTAAATTCGCTGAAGAAAATCGGCGGTAGGGTCAGGTTTTTTTTGTAGTTGTTACATAGCTTCACAGCCTTCATGGAACAACAAATGATGGACTTTGAATAAAGACTTCATCTGTTTCATAATTCAAATTGTTGCTTATACGTGTAAATGTTTGTTCTATAAAGGCTTGGCAGCTATCGCTAAATTTCACAGTGTGTTTATTTATGGTATATTCAGGATAAACAATAGCCTGAATCAAAGTTAATTTATAATTTTGCAATAACGAATATCTTATGATAATTTCATTCCCCAACTATCCTTTCCTAATGATGTAAATTAAAAAATGACAACGATTGTTACTTCTACAACGTATATTTACTTCTATAGTATATTCATTCCATAGTCTACCCTAAAACACTAAATGCCATGTACTATTATACCAATTCCATTCTCCTTTCCTCGCTCACGACGATGCGACTTATCAAGGAATGTTTTCTGGTCATACGCACCATAGCGGGTGCTTTCAGTTGAGCAGAAATCTGCTTATTTATTAGTAGCACCTTGGTGAATCCCAAATTTTCTCAAGTGGACTTCGTGTTGATTTTTTTAAAAGGATATCAATCATTATGGATTATTAATTTAGAAATGTTTGATGGTCTGCCAAGAAACATTACCCAGTGAATCTTTATTAACGATTAGCATCATATTTGAATACTATCAACTTGACGGTTGCCACAAATACAGAAGCTACCAAAAACCTAGAAGCAGCATCTACGCGAATTCCAGTTTTCTTAAGGTTCGTGTACTTCTATATTCATCTTGTTTTTATATGTTGCAATCTTTGATGAGTTTTTTATGCTAATTTTTAAGGATACTACCGAAAGAAGGTCTGCTTCACATCTTGATATTTTCCTCGATACTGACACAGATGGACGAAATCAAACTAAAATCTACGACAAACCTGATGATTTCAACTTTACAACTGTCAACTTAATTTACAATTATCAATAATAACTCGTAACATTTTTTCATATACATTTATCTGTAGAATCTTATTTCGCACGTGAAAGCTTTCCAGTCGCCAATAATGCTCATTTATATGTGTCAGTTAGACCTCGATCTATACTATAGTATAAACAAAAATAATCAATTATAGAATATTGATATGTCTGCTTTTTTATCTGTTTTAATTCATAAAAATGTCAAACTATGATATTTTATATTTCTTATTGGTATCAATATTTAAATAACGCTACATTATTTTATTACATCATTATTTTGACATTTTACCTTTTCTGTAAATCAACCAGCTCTTTCTTCTTCTTCATATTTTCCTGTTCTAGTATTTGGTTTGATGTTTTTATATCACACAACTGGTGTTCTACGGTTGCATATTTTCCCTTCAATTCTTTGATTTTAGAAGAATATCCGTGTATCTCAGAAACTTTTGATTGGATATCATTTTCATACATCCTACTGGATAATAAATACAGTACATTTGTGTATCTCAGAATCTTTAGACTGCATATACTTTTCATACATCTGAATGGATACTCAATAACAAATGAAATGCAAAACTAGTATGGGGATAAAGCAACAGATTGATGAGTGAGCAAAGCAAAATTCCGTCTTTTGTTTTCATTCTAAAAATATATCATTCGGATCCTTTATTCGTTTTACTAATGTCGTTATAGATATGAAAGGAAAACGATAGTACGTCAATAAGGTGGTATCATTGCCGACCGTTATCCACTAGAACCCAAATGACGTGGATGTAATCAAAATGATAATATAATACTAGAACACACACGCGACATCGCGGGTTCGTGACTGAATTAAACTACCTACGCCTTATTTTTAGCCTGGATATTTAGTATTCGTATATTGTCATCTTATAAAGTCATGCTGATTGTAAGGTGCACAGTTTTCTCTGCTTTCAAAATCTTTCTCTTTGAACCCGTCCTGTGTTTTTTTACTACAATAAACTTACTATAAACTAAATTTGACTTTTTCACCAAAATTAATAGTGGTATTGAGGTGGAAGAAAACAGACTTGTTAAATAGTGTACTATAGCGTAACATAGATATAAAACAACTACTGGAAGAATTCCAGGTTCTCCTGATAGAGAAGAGATTTACAGAAAGTAACCGGTAACTACAACCGGAAACTACATGTGACATATACTATTGGTTTCGGTATCGGATTCGACCCGGAACTTATTAATTATTGGTAATATTATCTATGTGGAAAACAAAAGGGCCTGGAATGGTGTTAGTTTTAAACAACACCATTGTCCTATATTAGTTATATATAAAGATGAATTCTTTGGTTCGTCGTTTTTACGTCATGCCGGCTAACAAATTGGACCTCGTTATTTTAGTAGTATAGATGATACTTGGTTTTGCTTATATTTGAAACGGAGGGGGTAAATCAAAAGCAGCTGGAGCATATAGTCTAATCTGTGAAACAATGGGAATGATCTGGAAATTTTCAATTTAAAGCATTATCATTTATACAGTTATCATGATTGGTTATCAGTCAATAACTATAGATAGCATACTGGATTGTTTGAGATTTATATCTCGAAATATTATATGGTCACATGACACATTGCAAGTCAAAGGAGTTGCAGTAGGTTATTTGCTGTGTGCAAAGAAAATCATGTAATGTGGTATAATTGCGGTGTCCTTTCCTCAAATCTGCAATGGAAAACGTTTATTTATTGATGTTTTTGCAATCATTTCATTTATAACAAGTTGTTTTTATATAGGATTTATTGATAATCAAAAATCGCTTTCACATCAAATATTTCCTGTATTATTGATATTTGGACAAATTATTATACTTAAGCAACTGTTCAGTAATAGCGGTAATTTTTACTCGATTTCTTTACAAATACAAGGTACACATTTTTGTTAAAATTTCAAAACATCGCTAGTGACAACCATTTAAAAATAAAACCAGTAAAAGAATACTGTCCGTGCGTTCTTGAATATTAAAAATCCCCTTAAATCTCCGTCAATTTTCGCAAGATAAGTCGCTGAAAAAAACGAAAAATGTCCAAACATTTGTCAAATTCTTACAGTTATTTTAGAGTTAATGTGACAATTCTTACTAGTAGTCTTATAGAAAGACTACAAAGCATTACCACTGGACTAATAATTGACTACATATTGTTTGTTAATTCATTCTTTACAATTTTATTTGGTAACACTTCACATAGCACAAAATTGTCTTACTTGGTATACCTATCTAATCATTTTGATGATTTGTTTTTTACAAATTCGTTTGGTAACGCTTCACGGTCCACAAAATTAGCTTGTTTTGTATACTCGTCTAATAATTGTTTGATTGTCCTTTATATAAAATGACAACAGACGCACATAAATAAATAAATAATAAATAAATAATAAATAAAATTCTTTATTTAACGAAGGTAACACATTTAACAATTACATGTTAATCTTCCATGAGGCCTTCAAAAACTATTAATACAAATAGAAAAGAAAAAAAAAACAAAAAAACCAAAATACATACAAAATAAAATACACAATACTGTTATACATAGCAGCTTAAATATTGAATAAGTACATATGCATTCAATAGAAGAAGAAAAAATACATTAGAATCAAGCATCTTCATTCTGTACAGTTTGAAAATAGTTTGAACATTTGATCTTAAATGTATCTAAATTATTTATTTCTTTAATATTATTTGGTAAATTATTCCAAGTAATAAGACCAGAATATTTAAATGTTCTTTTTAAAAATTCAGAATTAGGTCTTGGTACATGAAGAAGTCTTGACGTTGTCGACCTGAGACAATAATTATAAAGATCAGTACAAGCAGTAAATTTAATAGATAGATAATCAGGTGCTAGACCATTCATACATTTAAACATTAACACAGCTTGAAAATATTGTATTCTTGTAAATATAGTCATCCATGCAAGCTTTTTAAACATTAATGTTGATGGAAAATCAAAAGAAACAGATAAAACTAATCTTGCAGCACGTTTTTGGAGCTTATGTATCCTCTCCAGATTACAGTTTGTGGTAAGACCCCATACTGTACAACAGTAGTCAATAATGGGTAATATATAGCTATTGTAAAAAAGAATAAGACCTTTTAACGGTAAATAACGTTTCAACCTTTTTAACAGGTATATTCTGGTTGAAATAGTTTCGCATATTTTATCAATTTGATTTGACCATGATAGATTTTTATCAATATGAATTCCAAGAAGTTTTTCAACATTATCTAAAGTGATATTATCTTGTGATAAAACACATAAACATTCATTGCAGCTTTCCAGTTTTCTGTCTGATCCAACAAGCATACATTTTGATTTCTTGCTATTTATCATCATATCATTTTCTTTACACCATTTAATAACATTGTCTAAGTCTTTATTCAAACATATATTTAAATTTACAATAGGTTTAGATGACAAATGTAAAGTTGTATCATCAGCATATAGATCAGATTCTGTATATTCTAAGGTTAATGGTAAGTCATTGATATAAATAAGGAACAATAAAGGTCCAAGTATAGAACCTTGGGGAACTCCAAAAGTTACAGTTTTATATTCTGATTCGGTGGTTCCTAACTTAACTTTTTGCATTCTCTGAGAGAGGTATGATGAAAACCATTTTACAGAGTGTTCATCACAATTGTATAATTTTAGTTTAGATAAAAGTATATTGTGATTTACTGTATCAAATGCCTTCTTAAAATCTAAAAAAAGAACAGCGGTAAAATTTCCATTGTCCAATTCCTCTAACCATTTATCAATTATTTTAATGAGTGCTGTATGACAAGAATGTTTTTCTCTAAATCCAGACTGCTGTTGTATTAATAATTTGTGTGTGGTTAAGAATAAATATAGTTGTTTAAAGACAGTTTTTTCAAATAACTTGGACACAGTGGGTAAAATTGAAATGGGTCGATAATTGTTTGGATCTGTTTTATCCCCTCCTTTAAATATGGGAGCAACTTTAGCAAATTTTAATATATTAGGAAATATTCCTGTACATAAACTAAGGTTTATTATGTGAGCAAGGGGGCTTGCTACAATCGATCTTGATAATTTTAAAATTCTTGGTCCAACACCATCAGTTCCGGTTGATTTAGTTATGTCTAGATTTTTTAGAGCTTGTAGAACCTCATCATTTGTGACAGTATATAATGAGAATTTAGCATCATCATTTATTTTTGATTTGACATAGTTGTTAATTTTCTCAGATTTAAAAATTTTGTGAGGATTTGATATCAGCTTATTACCTACTGTGCTAAAATGATCATTTAAGCAGTTAGCAATATCATTTTTGTTTATAAGTACTTTTCCTTCGTGTGTTAAAATGTCAATTTCCTGTTTTGTTGTTGAATTCATATCCTTCAAATGCCTCCAAAGAATTCTACAGTTTTTATCGTTATCTATTGCATCCATAAAATATTTTGATTTTGCAGAACGAATTAATTCACTAGTTTTATTCCTATATTTTTTATAATTTTCAGTGTCTTTCTTTTTGTGAAAATAATCTCTTTGGAATTTTGATTTACCAATTTCATTAGTATACCATTCTGGTTGATATTTATTTTTTACACGTCTAGTAACAACAGGTGCATGTTTATCTAAAACCTTGACAAGTAAGTAATGCCACATGTCCATTGCTTGGTTTGAATCATTGATTTCGTGTATTATATCGAATGGTTGATTTGACAAATCTTGTAAAAACATTTCATCATTAAATGTTTTGAAGTTTCTGTATTTGATCTCAAAATGTGAATCTGATTTGTCTTTAATAAGCTTTGCAAATTTGTTTACAGTACAGCTAACAGGATAATGATCACCTGGGGCGTATGATGGTACTGTAACATTGATAAGACTTGTAGGATTAGTACTGTAAATATGATCAATTAAAGTGACACTAGTAGAAGTAACTCTAGTAGGGTCAACCACCATTTGATGAAGGCCATATGTTGTAATAAAAGATGACCATTTAGAAGGAAGAGGCTTCAAAAAATCAATATTAAAGTCACCCATTAACAATATATTATCATTTATAGATAAGCCATTTACAACCTCATTTTCAAAATTAGTATACCAAGAGGTTTGGCTATTAGGTGGTCTGTATACAAAACATAATAAAAATGATTCTTTGTGTTTTGGAAAAATCTTAAACCAAACAGTTTCTATGTTTTCACTCTCTAATAAAGTCATCCTTTCATATTTAATATCATTATCAAAGTAAACTATCCATCCCCCACCTTTTTTATTTTCCCTATCTTTTCTTTCATTGCTATACCCCGGGATGTTAATCTCATTAGAATCCCGCTTACATTTTTTAGTATTCAGAAATGTTTCACACATGCCAATAATAGCTGGTCTTTGGGTTTTCTCAAGACTTTCAAAATTAGATCTGATTTCATCAATCTTAGGTAAAATATGTTGTATATTATGACATGTTAATTT